GGCTTAGAGGATGTTAGTTTGTGTCACAAAGGACATGTGAGCCAACGGTAATGCACTGGCCTGTCAGCTGCCACCGAGTGGAGCGGGGCCGTATACATGGCGTATACTTGATTTCCTCATATGAAATATTAAGAACCTCCGCGCCATTGATGGCTCGTGGCTTTAAGTGCCTGGAATGTGCTTCATTGGATTCACTTGCACTAAAAAGGGGATTCCGTCCTAATAAAAACATCTTAATAAATCAAGTTGCAAGCGGGAAAGCTGGATGCCACAGCTGGAACAGGGAACAGGGAACTGTAACCTGTAACTGGGAGGTAAATAAAACCACCCAACCATAATCAGTTCAGACAATACGCGCGTCCCTCAAGTTCATATTTCAAACGATATTCCGAAAAACCCCATCTAACCCTTCACCTCAATGTCTGCTGCCACTTTCAAGTGTTTTTATTTTCTTTTTTTTCTAACCACTCGGTGGGGGGAAAATCAGCAAAGGGAATGAGCCAGGACGAGGACCAACCCTCTTCGAACACTTATCGCATTCAACATCATTTGCATGCGGAGTGTTCTGGCAGCGAAACAAATAAAATCAAGAAATAAATTAGAGAAATACAACAAAAATGAAGAAAATCCGGAAATGTTTGCCGAAAAAAACCCATAGAATCTATATATACACACACGTCCAACAAATATGGCCGTAGTTGATTTTTGCAATCTGCACTTTTCTGGTCCTTTGTCGAAAAATTGTTGCCGCAGACTCGCCTCGAACTCGAAGCCATCACAGGTCCTGGGCACAGGGGGTATGAGAGTGTGAGCTCCATAGTCGTCTGTCTGGGATCTGGGAATCTAACCAAAACCTGCAAGCTGCCCAACTGCAGCCTGTCTGCCGCGTCTGGACACGTAGACGTGGACGAGGACCACATCCCATTCCTCCATCAATATATGACCACTGACCAGGCCCCATGTCCATGTCGTAGTCGTAGTCGTCGTCGTCGTCGTCGTCGTCACCTCGCGACGCATTCGTGGCACTCGCGTTTAATCAGCGATGTTTTGGGGCAGGAAGAACCAGCCTGCACTCCTTGCGAAGCCATCATGATGGTGTACCTACCCACCACCTTTGATTTTCATCATCATTTATTGTTAGTGGCTGGCCAAAAATGCTCTGCTCCGGCTGCTTGTACTCCTGTTTTGTTGTTTAGATTTCTTTCCTTTGTACCTCGGTCCGCTCGTTTCAATATTTGCATGTCCCACTCCACACGGGATTGGGAATTATTTCCTGGACTCCATCATATATCATGTCCAGGGAAAATACCCATTCTTCTACTTTTGAGTTTTCCTTTGCCATACCTCGACAGGTTTTTCCCGCTTTCACCTCCTTCTCCCTCTCTCTCCTCTTATAGCATTTTTTCATGCATTTTCATTATTTTCAATTTCCATTTCGCTCGCTGTGCAATTTATTAAGCGATTTGGTTATTCCCATTCCTAATTTGCATTTAAGCTGCCGGTCATCTTAAAGGCAGCCTTTCAATTATCCTTTGGCCCATCAGACTCGTATTTTAGGATTCCCGGCAACAAGTGGCAAGTGGCAAGTGGCAAGTGGCTCTAGTGAAGCTGTGAAATCTCGGACTCAGAAGTGCAGTTGTTGCAGCTGGCAGGCGGCAGGAGATGCTGGTTATGGCTTGCTCCAAACAACAAGAAGGACGAAGGACATATAGAAGGAGGAGGAAGTGCCAGAGTTGGGGCACACAATTAACCGGCAGACGAGGCCAGCAGAGCTGGCTCTGGTCTCTCTGTGTGACTTCTGCTGCTTCCTTGAATGCCCCTGGCCTTGCGAAGGAGCAGGAGGTGGCCATTTTTCAGACTGGACACTTGAATGAGCATTTGTGGCAGTCCTGCCTTGCCTTTCAACCTCCCTCCCACCCCCAGACCACACACACAATTGTGTGTCAAGGTCGTTGAGGGCTTGCCGCCTGTGTGGTGTTTCCTGCTCCAAGACGATGCCGAATGATGAGAACGATAACGTCTCCATTTGCCATTTTGCCAGAGCTCAACTGGGGCTCCAGACTCCGACTCCGGCTGGAGCTCTGTTGTCCTGGCTCCTGACTCCCGGCTCTCGGCTCTCGGCTCCTTTTGTGTCTGTGCGAAGAGGAAGTGTTTTGTGCTGTCGGGGAGACAAATCAGTGCTTGTGCTTGTGCTTATACCCTCGTCCTCGTTCTCGTCCTTGTGGCAGACATTCTTGGGGAATACCTTTTGGCAGCTCAGACTTGTCTGCCGCCTCCTGCCAACTGTTTGTGCTTGTTTGTTTGGTTTTCATTTGTGTGCTTGCTCCAGAAATTTGTGTGGAAATTGTTTTCTTTCCGCCCCTCACACAGGGAAGGTCCTTGCCTTGCCAGCTTGCCTTGCTTGCTGTGTTTAAGATTCTGTGGCTTGTGCATTTTGTAAATAATCTTGTTTCACACTCCTCCTGCCCTGAACTGGCCTGTCGCCTGGTGTCGACAGGCGCCAGTGGTCAAGCCCCGAACGACTCCTGCATAATTTATGTGGGAAAGTCTCACTGCCAGAGTGTTGCTTAAGAATTTCGGCCAGGACACCTTGCGAATGTGTGTCTGGGCCCTCCGGTACGAATGAAAAGTCAATTATTGCCATTGCCATGGCTTTTCCGGCCAACAAATTAAATGGTTTGTGGTCGAACACACAAGTCCGAGTGGCAGCAGCGATTGAAGAAAGTGATACGAATGTGAAGCCTTTGCCTACGCCTTCGCAAATTAATTCTAGGGAGTCAATTTCCATTTAATTTGAAAAGCCAATTGCTGTGCATTTGTGAAACCACAACTGTTGAAATCTAAACCATTTTTGAAAGACCACTTTTCATTTCATTTTCAGCAAAATAAGATAAGGTGAATGTAAGAGGAGTTAATAGGGCCTTAAACAACATTTTTGTTATGGAAAATTGGGAGAGAAATTGGTTTTAAAGAGGCTATAAAGCTGAAGAAGAAAATTAAGAGATGTATATACAATTTTCAAATACTTCGAATGTAAAAATAGTTATTTAATGTTTATTTTAGAATTCAATAAATAAGATATAAATGTGGAAATACGGAGAAAATAGGGAAGATAAACCAAATCCAGAAACATTATATTTTAATCAAATAAATCCTGTATTTATAAAATTCCAGGAATATAAAGAAAATTGCCGGAAAATCCCTAAGAACACAAAGTATCTTCAAGTTATTTTCTTGACTTATTCTTGCCAGAATAAAGACAAAGAAAATAGGAAGAACTAAATGAAAAGCTTTTTCCACATAAAGCTTTTTTAAAGGGTAGAAATCTTGGAAAACACGAAGTCTGAATTTTGGTATAACAGTATTTCCAGCTAGTGACGAGAGCTGCTAGAGGAATGTCACATTTTAGTCTAATTTTGTACAACTGTGTATATAGTAAACCTTTTCCGGATGTAAACCTCATGTAATAACAAATATTTAAAAGATTTGGTTATAAATTTTTTTAAATTTATGTTAAAAACTCATATCTTCGTCAAAAAAGCATTAATTTTAATTCGGAAACCAGTTTTGTGCTAAATTTTATTAGGTTAATAAATCTGCATACTTAATAAAAAATATTAAAAAATTGAAATTTTTTTTAATTTTGAACATATAAAATAAGGAACAAATTTCGGAAATTTTTTTTCTACCGGACATTGCTGGATCGATTCAGCTGTTGATGCTGATCATGAATATATATGATTTATAGGGTCGGAAATGATTCCTTCACTTTGTTTCAATCTTCTGACTGAAGTTAAACTCTCTAAAAAAGGTATAAAAACAGACAATTTCATTGAAAAATCAATGTTTTCCAAACATCATAATTAGGTCGAAATCGCATTAATTTTTATTCGGAAAGCTTTTTGTGCGAGTTATTAAAGCACTAACAAAACTGCATACTGCGTTTGTTGATGCAAATTTAAGTTTCTGATTAAAATAATAAAACCCTGCAAAGAGGTATAAAAACAGACAATTTTTGTCAAAAAGTCATAGTTTAAAAATCTCATAACTAAGCCAAAAAATCATTAATTTTAATTCGGAAAGCAGTTCTATGCTAGTTTTTACTAGATTAATAAATCTGCATACTCAGTTTTTAAATTTAAAAAATTCAATTTTTTGTCGATTTTGAAAAAAATCATGATGATAACCCCTTATGAAAATGTCAAATTTTAACAAAATTTGGAAAATTGTATTTTTCTTCTAGGCATGGCAAATATGATTCACCTGTTTATTCTGATCAAGAATATATATGATTTATAGGGTCAGAAATGATTCCTTCACTGCTTTGCAAGCTTCTGACTAAAATCATGATACCCTGCAACCGTAAAAATTACTTGATTAAATTCTCCGATAAGAAAAACTGAAGGCTAAGAATAAATATATCAAATCTTCAACCCCCACCTGAGCCTAAATACCAATTGTTTACCTTAGTCAAAGGTGAACTAGATGTATTTCCACCGATAAGGTCTCACTATCGTTTCGATCCGATGGACACGGACCCGGTTCATGCGATGGAACCCAGACCAGACCCCAATATTTATGGGCAATCACATCGCGCTAGCCGCCGCCTACTCATCCAATCCGGAGTCCAAGGTGCACGGCGAGCAGCAAACATTACGTAGTTTCCAAGCGATTCAGAGTTATTTTGACGCCGCCGCAGAGTGATCCATAAAATTGATCGATAAGCCGAAAGTCAGGGGCCTTATCACCCCAAGTTTTTCTATTGGGAGAGCGACTGAGACTGAGAGAGAACCTGAATGCAGACACATTAAAAATAAGGAACGATCGTAATGGACTCGGCCGGATCATATCTCTAGCGAGCATTAGCATCGGACATGCAGCCGCCTTATCCATTATTTTATATATGTTATATATATACATATATATATATTTTTGGTTCCTGGCTTATCAGCTCCGTTCGCTCGGGTCGCCGCCAGCTCGTTTTCAGTCGAGTTTCAGCGTCAGAGCAGAGCAGTCGGATCGCGATCAGTCCATGGAATCAGTTGACCCACGTGCCGAGCATAGAAACTAGCTAATAAATACATCAGCAGATCGTTCAGCTTTCGAATTGGAATTAAATAAAACAAACACACAGCGGCAGCGGCTGATAAGGCACCTTTGGTGCAGGCAAAAGGCAAAAAAATCAAATACCCCAAAATATATACAGAAAACATATACTCTGGAATACGTATAGCGACATTCATTTACGTTCTGTCAAGATGATGTCACATACAGTGAGGTGCGTTTGGTTTTAACTTTTCCTCCTAGAAAAACCCTTATTAACCATGATATACTTTCCCCCACACATCAGAGTTTTCAAGATGATGTACATTGTGGCAGGTATACTCATCAGCAATGCGGAGATCTGTGACACAGTGGATCGCATCCAGATAGCGCCACGCGTCGATCTGAAGCCCGATTTTGATCAGAGAGCCCTGACCTCGGGCGGAAATAGTCCCGGCTCTCGTTCCCGTACCCATTCCCGTTCGAGTTCCGGTTGTGGTTCGGGTTCCGAGGATGGTGCTCCCACCAAACGTCGACGGGTTAGCGTTTCGGGCATAGCTGGTGGCGTGGTCAGAGGTGTCACCAGTCAGGTATCCAAACGGGTGGGACATCGCTTCAACTGGCTCTCGGACATTCAGCTGATCCTGCAACAGTGGCGAGTCCTCGCACTCAGTTTCAACCTCTGGACCATACCCAACTTCCTCGTGCAATGCCTCACCAGCTACATGAGCAAGAAGCTGTTCCTTAACAGCGACTGTGATATGATCTACAAGTAGACTAGGCAGCTACACCAAGAGGTTGCGAATTTATTGTTACTTTAGTTCATTAGTTTTAACATAGTGTTAAGATTTGAATAAACAACTGCTAGACATAGACATGGATACGTGTGTATATTCAAAAGTAGACAGTATAATTCGCTTAGCAGCAGGGAGGAGGGAAGTTTAACACAGAAACATAAATAATAATAAAGAGAAGTAATTATATGAACTTTGTTGGTCTTTTCCTGAATACAAATAGTTGATTTTAATAATTTAAACTGTTTAATTTCACTTGAAGAAAGTTTTTCCATTCAGTTTTATAATTTAAATTAGTTTTCTTGCTAAAAATGCTAAGCGAATTATACTGTTTTGTGGTCCCAAGAGTCTCTTCCAAATGTTATCCTTTCATTAAATGTCCTTTTCCGTTATTAGTCCCCTCTGCCGTAGAGTTGTCCGAGTTATCCGGACTGCAGGGACTTCCACCGCCTCCTGAAGCTCCACCTCGAACATTGAGACTATTATGCAACATGTTGGCAATACTATCCACATCCAGGTTCTCATCCGTGGCGGATATCTTTCGCAGAGCTGAGCAGACAATGCTCAGATCGCCCCTCAATTCACTGACCACAGCTGTGATTTTTTGAGCATTTGACAAGACCTCGACACTCGAAGTATACGGATTGTAGCGCACTCCAAATGGTCTCTGAATGCTATCGGCAAAGGCCCTGCATAATTCCAGAAAAAAGATATAAATGTGTAATTTAATTATATAATTAATAGTTCACCTCATCTGCTCCTTGGCCTCCTCAAAAGAGTCCGTGTAGTAGTAGGCATTCTGATAGGATGTGATGATGCACTCCTCCCTGCAGGTCACCTCTGGATCAAATTTCTTGATCTTTTCCTCTGTGGTAATTGCATGTTGCAACTCGGCCACAGAACTCAAAAGTCCGGCTCCATAAACCTTGAATGAACTGTCCGCCTGCTTGCACAATCCAAATTCCACGGTGAAAAAATAGAGCTGTCAAGGAAAAGTGTTCCATTTTAGAAGAGAAAGAAATAAGGATCCACAAAAGGAATACCCACTGTGGCCAGTTTTTCAATATCCGCATCACTGGCTCCCAAGGAAGCCAAGCCAATCTCCTGGGAGAATTGGGCAAAGCTCGAGTTGGCCAGCAGGGGCATGTGTCCCAAGAGTTCGTGGCAACAATCGCTGGGAAAGTTATAAAATTAATTAGTCATATGCGATAAGTTAGGGGAAATTCCATAATAGTAATAAATGTTGATGAAATCAACAGGGGTTTTCCGAATAGAGCAAGTAGTTGTACAGCTTATTATGTTTTCAAATATTAATTCTACTAAAATATTAAATATTTTATAGGAATGACACATTTTCTTCTGTTGTGGCATAATTTTTTACTCGAGTCCTAAAAGTATGCCAAGCATCCGTTGTAATACATTCCATAGTTAAGCGATTTTTAAAGCTAAATAATTACTTCTGACTTCGAAATTAATTATTTATTCTAATTTTTTACCTATAAAAACTAAATTTAATATGAAAAGCTATATTAAACTCACGGTTCGGGAGTGTAGAACGGATCCGAAGAGTGTCGTATGTACTGAGTGCAATGGAAAACGCGAAAAGCGAGTCCCGAAAGGAAATCCCTGGGCGATAAATATCCTGCCACTGGTCTCAGTTGAAATCCTGTCTTACGCTTGAGATACACACTCACATCCTGCAACTGGGGTACGTTATCCTCGCGGTAGCCACAATACTTTTCCAACTCGGGCCAATTTTCCATATACTCTGGAACTGCGTGCAACACGTAGAGGCGGTGCAGCTCCAAGAAAACAGTGCCCCTTCACACACACACAAAAAAAGTTTCAAAGTCGATGCTGCAATGCAATCAATGCCAAATGCAATCAAAAACTTACCAAGTTTTCACCTCCTCCGGTGTGTACTGCACACGGGGAATGGGATTTCCACTAAAGAGGGTGAGGGGGAAATGGGTGTTAGGAGTGGGTTACAGGTGGTTCAAGATTTTCCATTATCATCACACTTACTGCTTGAAGTTGTTAGCTATTGCCGAGAACTGTTCACGACGCTTGCGATAAACGGGGTCCTTGAATCCCGGATGGTCGGCATCCAGTTCTGAGCCATACATCAGGACATTCTGGGCCTTGTCCAGGTCGGAAATTTTACGGGGAAACCATACCATGTCACCGAAATCTTAAGGATTAAAGGTTAAAATTGGAAAGAGAAACCAAGAATGTTACTTTGTTAAGGTGCCTAGGAAAAATACAGATATTATCCTTAAAGATATCTGTATCACCCTTAAATTTTATCATTTTTCTGTCCATAATGTTGTATTATTTATATTTTTCATTCCGATTTTTAAATCGTAGTTTTATTTTAAAAGTTGAGGCACATTTTTATGAACTGTTCAAAAAAACTCACCAAAACTCGAGCAAGCCGAAAGTGATGGAGCCCTGGCCAATCCCTGTGTATTCACAGACGTATAGTTCACGCAGGCCACCTCCCTGTTGAGCATCTTCACCACCTGGTCAAGCCGTCGGGGATCGCATTCCACATCAACCAGGACATCCGCTTGGTTGGTGGTCATCTCCAGAGGCGACAGCTCCAGGTGCAGCACATTGATGCCCAGCTCTTGGAAGACCTGCAGAGCTCGGGCTAAATTTCCCACCTGATTGCGAAGGGTGAAGATAATCGAGATGCGTTCGCCTGGGGAATGCTGACGAGGAGGATCCTGGCCACCGATGGCCAACCTGGGTGGCTCTGGTGGAGCTGATGAGTGCCGGGATAGACCCACATGCGGCGGCGGAGCTGAACCCGAGGAGCCGGAAGCCGTATCCTTTTTGAGCTGATGCAACGGACTGCCCTGCTTGACGGCCCACTCACTCTCGCCGCTCCTGTAGAGCCACAGTCCTAGGAGACTCTTCCCGGAGGCACTCATCACTGCACACTGGAACACTGGGAAGTCGGAATTTACTTTCACCGCGGGCACACGCGTCGTATGCGCAACTTGGCGCAACTGCAAGATCCTGTCGATGCGACGGCCCTTTTATAGGCAGCCCGCAGGACGAACACACACGCATCCACGAAAGAGATACATATTCAATTGTATTTATTAAGTGTGCGTGGCGAGATAAATTCGTTCAAGGATATAAAAGCTACAAGTGAGTCTTTCCACTCCATTCAGAGGCCCCACCTCCTTTTTGGGTTGGATGTTCACTCGCTCTGATTGGCCAAATCATGCTGGAGTCAGGCCAAAACGCTAACGCATGACGTCATGGTGCTGTATGGAAAGAGTATATGGGTTTTGCCATTAAGGTGGAGTTTCACTTTAATTAATTACAAAACAAATAGGGAAACCTATCTTTCTTCATTATAAAAGTATAGATATGAGGAATAGGAAAACGATTTCTTTAAGCATTCAAAATGAATTGATTATTATGATGCAATTATTTATTTATTTAACCAACATTTAATCAAAAAAGGTTTGAATAACAAATGAAGTGTGTTATATATACACCACATTAATTATAAGTGTTGCAAAGGCTAGCTCATTGCAATCATCTTTATGAAGCACTCATAATTAATTTATTATTTATCTTAGAGTACATAGAAGTCCCACTTATTCCAAACATTTCACTTTCTAATCAGCAGCAAAACAACTTTCAATGAATGGGGAAAAAGTCATGAGGCTGGGGCCTGGCTTTTTGGGTGGCAGGACAGACAGACCCGACTTTTCTGCGCTTGACTTTCAAATTCAAGCGTTTAATTTATGCTGGTATTACAGTAACTAGTGTACCGTAAGGAAAAACCTAGTGAACCCCTTTTCGAACTCCTGTGGAAAAGGAAAATAACAAGGGAAGAACTCTACCGTTAGATAAAATCAATGTGAAGTTGGTCAAGGAAAACGTCCTGACTCGGCGACATTGAGAGTGGCCAAATAAACGGGAATAGTCGGACCATAAAAGAAAACTCTTTCCACCACCAGCAAAACCACTTGATGCTTCCCAGCGACAGAGTCAATAGAAGATAAATAGCAATTTCTTTTCGCCCGCTTCTCTGAGCCATTGTTTGCGCTTCAAGAATGGCAAATAGAACTCCGGGAGGAGAAAGCAGCAGGAAAAGCGGGGTGGGAAAACTGTGAGCAGGAAACCAGAGTCAGGGCTGCTACTTGGCTATTAAAATATGCGAAAACCACGTCAGAGGGGGGTGTCGACATAGCCACTAAACACATGCGTGGGCAGAGAGTCCAGTCCCATTCCTGTCCAGTTCTAGCCTCCTCCCTTCGGCTCATCAGCCAAAGCGATAAACTTAATGGGTGCTGGCTAACTGATTGACCGGCAAACGAGTCCCAGAGCAAGGCACTTTCCACTTTCTATTTGCCCAAGAGACGCCGCCAGCCGTTTGATGGATTTATGGTAGCAGCAAGTGCCTTGGAGGATACATTGGATTTCTCCCTTTTGCCGGGAAAGAAATCTCTCTCCCAGACGGAGACGGAGTCGAGGTCACGATGAATGGCAGTTGTTGATTCCCTTGATTTTCGAATAATTAAGTTAGACCCACTAATTTGCACGGGAGGAGGAGAGGGTTGGGAGGGATGAACGCGGATGTGACTTGGATTAAATTTCAGCATTTGCTATAATTCGCTAGCAAAGGATATTTGCAGAAAAATATCTGGAAAATAGATTTCAACAAGTATTTAAGGACTTCAGATAAATTATGGTTTGGTTATTAAATATCTCATTAAAGCTAAGATTGATTGAAATTGATATTTATATTAATAATCTAGCAGGGCGTTATAAATTTAGTCAGAAGTTTGCAATGCAATGTCTGTTTGACCAATTCTACAGAAACTAGTCCCTTAGTTTTAAAGTTATATACTCTCATTATAATATAAATCGAAACAAGCAGAATCGAAATACTATATCATATAGATGCCATGGGAATAATCGGAACATTTTAAACATATTTTATCTATTTTTCATATAAGATATAGTCATTTTATATTATTTTATAATTTCGGTATTAATTTTATTAAAATCTAACGATAATATTATATAGCTGCCATAAAAATGATCGTTAAATATATGCCTATGGCTCTCTGCACACTCTTACTCTCTATCCCTCTCTGCCTCTCGAGAGCTATCTCTTTCACTCCATTGCGCTTCGCCTTTCTCTAGAGGCAACTCTTTCTCTCCCGCGCTCTCGCTCGCACTTTCTCTGTTTTTCTCTTCTCCTGGAGAGTATAAATACGAGCACTGCCGCCTCGCCACCCTCAGTCTGTTCGCGAACTCCCGAGTGTTAACATCCAAGTGATAAGTGATAATGATCTGATGCCATACCGGATGACCAGGAAGAAGAAGACTTGGACAAAGTTATATGGATGGAAGTAAACAATGACGTGGCCTTTGCTGGGGTAAGTCTTAACCATGACAAGTAGATTTTGTATATAGATGGTAAATTGGGCTAACTATGCATTTATTTTCTAATTAATTATTACTTAACTTTACTTAACACTATTTCATAACTTTATTTGAATGTGTTTTAGCAATGTTTTATTTACCAATTACCTTCACCCTTATTGAGGTGTTATAAATTTATTAAGAAGATTGCTATGCAATTACTGTTTGACCAATTTTACATAAACTAGTCCCTCAGTTTTAAAGTTATATACTCTCATTATAATATAAATCGAAACAAGCAGGATCGAAATACTATATCATATAGCTGCCATGGGAATAATCGGAACATTTTTAACATATTTTATCTATTTTTATATAAGATTTAGTCATTTTATATTATTTTATAATTTCGGATTTAATTTTATTAAAATCGAACTATAATATTATATAGCTGCACTAAAAATGATCGTTAAATATATGCCTATGGCTCTCTGCACACTCTTACTCTCTATCCCTCTCTGCCTCTCGAGAGCTATCTCTTTCACTCCATTGCGTTTCGCCTTTCTCTAGAGGCAACTCTTTCTCTGCCGCGCTCTCGCTCGCACTTTCTCTGTTTTTCTCTTCTCCTGGAGAGTATAAATACGAGCACTGCCGCCTCGCCACCCTCAGTCTGTTCGCGAACTCCCGAGTGTTAACATCCAAGTGATAAGTGATAATGATCTGATGCCATACCGGATGACCAGGAAGAAGAAGACTTGGACAAAGTTATATGGATGGAAGTAAACAATGACGTGGCCTTTGCTGGGGTAAGTCTTAACCATGACAAGTAGATTTTGTATATAGATGGTAAATTGGGCTAACTAAGCATTTATTTTCTAATTAATTATTACTTAACTTTACTTAACACTATTTCATAACTTTATTTGAATGTGTTTTAGCAATGTTTTATTTACCAATTACCTTCACCCTTATTGAGGTGTTATAAATTTATTAAGAAGATTGCTATGCAATTACTGTTTGACCAATTTTACATAAACTAGTCCCTCAGTTTTAAAGTTATATACTCTCATTATAATATAAATCGAAACAAGCAGGATCGAAATACTATATCATATAGATGCCATGGGAATAATTAGAAAGTTTTTAACATTTTTTTATCTAGTTTTCATATAAAATATAGTCATTTTGTATTATTTTATAATTTTGGTGTTAATTTTATTGAAATCGAACGATAATATTATATAGCTGCACTAAAAATGATCGTTAAATATATGCCTATGGCTCTCTGCACACTCTTACTCTCTATCCCTATCTGCCTCTCGAGAGCTATCTCTTTCACTCCATTGCGCTTCGCCTTTCTCTAGAGGCAACTCTTTCTCTGCCGCGCTCTCGCTCACACTTTCTCTGTTGCTCTCTTCACCTAGAGAGTATAAATACGGGCACTGCCGCCTCGCCGCCCTCAGTCTGTTCGCGAACTCCCGAGTGTTAACATCCAAGTGATAAGTGATAAGTGATAATGATCTGATGCCATACCGGATGACCAGGAAGAAGAAGACTTGGACAAAGTTATATGGATGGAAGTAAACAATGACGTGGTCTTAACCATGACAAGTAGATTTTGGTAAATTGGGCTAACTATGCATTTATTGTCTAATTAATTATTACTTAACTTTACTTAACACTATTACTAAACTTTATTTGAATGTGTTTTAGCAATGTTTTATTTACTAATCTACCCTCACCCTTATTGAGGTGTTATAAATATATTAAGAAGATTGCTGTGCAATGTCTGTTTGACCAATTCTACATAAACTAGTCCCTCAGTTTTAAAGTTATATACACTCATTATAATATAAATCGAAACAAGCAGAATCGAAATACTATATCATATAGCTGCCATGGGAATAATCGGAACATTTTAAACATAATTTATCAATTTTTTATATAAGATATAGTCATTTTATATTATTTTATAATTTCGGATTTAATTTTATTAAAATCGAACTATAATATTATGTAGCTGCACTAAAAATGATCGTTAAATATATGCCTATGGCTCTCTGCACACTCTTACTCTCTATCCCTCTCTGCCTCTCGAGAGCTATCTCTTTCACTCCATTGCGCTTCGCCTTTCTCTAGAGGCAACTCTTTCTCTCCCGCGCTCTCGCTCGCACTTTCTCTGTTGTTCTCTTCTCCTGGAGAGTATAAATACGAGCACTGCCGCCTCGCCGCCCTCAGTCTGTCCGCGACCTGCCTAGTGTTTACATCTAAGTGATAGTGATAAGTGATAAGTGATAAGTGATAAGTGATAGTGACCTGATGCCATACCGGATGACCAGGAAGAAGAAGACTTGGATAAACTTGGATTACACTGGATGGAAGTAAACAATGACGTGGCCTCTACTAGGGTAAGTCTTAACCATGACAAGTAAATTTTGTATATACATATATAGATGGTAAATTGGGCTAACTATGCATGTATTGTCTAATTAATTATTACTTAACTTTACTTAACACTATTTTATAACTTTATTTGAATGTGTTTTGGCAATGTTTTATTTACCAATCTAACCTCACCCTACCTTAGTTCAAATCTGAGCCTAACTAACTTTGGCGTTCATAAAATTAGCGATATTCAAATTCATGGATTTAATATTCATAAAACTTTGGTAAAACAAATAAGTAAACATTTTATTACAAATTCTTAGAATTTTCGCAACCAAGATAAACCAAGCTTCAGGGGAAATTATTATTTATGTTTGTTGCTGGATAAGTTACCATCAGTTAACTATTTAAATATACACACCTGTATTATCAATCAGACTATTTCAATAAAGTAATCTGATGGGGCATCACTATGTTAGTTCAAGGAATTCTCCCTTTGACTTGTTTTTTGAGCTCAATAACAAACAAGAAAATAATATAATATCGATAAACCGAAGTATTTATGTAGCTTGGATTATAAGTTAAAATAGAAAATCAATCATAACTTGATCAAAAATTCATTAATTTCAATTGGGAAGGCATTTTTTTGCCAGTTTTTATTAGGTAAATAAATCTACATACTCAATTTAAGTTTATAAAAAATTAGAGTTTTGGAAAAAAAAGAACGATGTAACCCCTTATAAAATTTTTAAATTGTTTTAAAATTAATTTTTTTACTGGACATTGCTAAATCGATTCAGCTGTTGATGCTGATTAAGAATATATAGGGTCGGAAATGACTCCTTCACTACTTTTGAAGGTTCTGACTAAATCAATTATTCCCTCCCTATACGAATAAATATAAATTTGTAAATTTTAATAAAGCATTGATAAATCATAATACATTAAATACATAAAGAGTATATTTATTACATTTCTTGTAGAGGTAGTAATTTAACATAATACTTTTCAAGTATAAGACTATTTAAAGCAATCATCGATCGGGGGAAGGTTTCCGCTGCAAAAATGCCACACGGACCAGGCAGCCCATCCCTGCTCTCCCAGGACCTTCTGGGCGCATCGCACGGACCTGGTGATGTCGTCCTTAAGCAGTTCATTGCAGCTCACACCGCAACCGTTGTGTGAAAAGTGTCCATTGGAAGGCTGACACCAATAACGATCGTTGATCTGGAAGATGCCATAGTCGTTGGATCCATCAGTGTTCGGGGGACCCACAACTCCGGTGCGGTAGGAGCTCTCGTGTTCGGCAATGCAGGTCCACTTGTTGAGCTGATCACGGGGAACGCCCAGGTTGGACATCTCCCTGGCCAGGGAGCAGCGATCCATGGTACGGGCCAGGATCGAAGGCGTGACCAAAGCCAGGAAGCAGACAACCAAGAGAACTCTCATATTGATGGATGTCAGAAAAATATAATGATGTTGAATCCACAATCTTGCTGTATTTATACCCCTTGGAGAGCTCAAACAAAGGCAAATATTAGTAATGGGCCTTTACCAGCGATAACGCATATTTCATTGAGTGACTTATTAAGAAATATTCATGCGGTAAGAGCTATATAATATAATTCCTTTAAAAGGTTGGCAAACTTATCTTGTATAAATAAAACCTTGTTCATTTCAGATTTTAGATTTATCTTTCAGGCAATTCTCGTATCGGTCTATGATCTCTAGTATCTATAAATAAGGTGAATGCATTTATTGGCCCATCTAGCAGATCCATACTTGTACTTGAAATGCTTAATGACCAAATGGTTGTGAGTAATAGAATTTTCCCCTTAATGAATGTCCTTTCCTTATGTAACTAATATTTCAAGCAATCATTTCAATTTTACCCATTGCCTTAAAAGTTATATATATCAAGATAGCATTCATTATATATTATCCATATCAATCCCTCGGTATTCCTTCCCTTACAACCCCTTGTGAGAGCCTGAACCGCTCCTGGCAGCTCGTGACCCAAGCGCAACAGCATTGCAATTTGGCAAACCCACCCCTCAAAGATGGACACATGGAGCGGATATGACGCACTGCGTCGGCGCGCTACATGTCAACCCCCCAGAGAGCGACTTGGATGTGGACTTGGTAAATGCCGCTGCTCCCTCACCCTGCGTCCTGTCAACGATAAACAAAAACAAGTTGGAGAGCCAGAGAGAGAGCTTGTGCCTGACAGCTGAAAGTACCAAAAATTTCCCTTCCTCGGGAGCACGGAACACGGAGCACGGAGCACGGAGCACACCACTCACAACTGGACGTCGAACGGGGGCTCAAGTGCGCCAGCTAGCTGGCGTCAAGGAAATTATCGATTTTCGGATGTGAAGTGAAAAATTTCAACTCGACTTTCGCGATTGTGTGAGCCAGGTCTTCCAAAAATATAAAGAAATCAAGTCGAATCGAATCCAATAAAGCTCCCAGCTAGCCCGTAGTTGTGGGCGTGGCAGCTGGCCGAAGCCAGGTCCCAAGACGACATGGCCGACAGCGAATTCGAGGAGTTCCACAGGCCCATATTTGAGCCCCACACGATTCCCACATTCGGAGCTGGAGCTGGCAACAAGAAGAATAATCCCCATGCATTTTACTCGTAAGTAAAACCAAAAAACAGAAAGGTTAAAGGTTACATTACAAAGGCATATTCCATGAGTGACAAGTGAAGTGATGCGGAGCTCAGAAGCTGCACGTGTCCCCAGGAGCACCCCCTTTCGAAATTAGTCGGTATCCTTGAGGGGGAAAGGGGAAATGGAAATGCATTTGCTGTCCTTTTAAAACTTTTTGAATGCCATTTTCCCTCTTGACTGACTCATCAATATGCACTTCTCGTAACCAATATCCATAGACTAATTCCCAACGATGAACTGGAGGATAGTCACTCCTCAAAGAGCGAAGGCGATGGCTCCGATCAGGAGGATGGCATCGGGCATGACCGCGAGCCCAAGATGCGCCAGGTGGAGGATGACGAGCTGGGCGATGGCCTAAAGGTCACCCTGTCCTCGGATGGATCCCTGGACACTAATGACTCTTTCAATTCACATTGTCATCACCCGTTGAACCATCAGGATGCAATTGGTGGCTTCCTGGGCATGGATACCAGTGGCTTGGGTGGCAACAGTCCTCCAGTGACCATTGGGGCAAGCACAGATCTTCTGGCTCCAAATTCAGCAGCCACTCGACGACGGCGCAAACTCCCCGAAATTCCCAAGAATAAGAAATGTGAGTTAAATAGTGGAGAGAGTATGTAGTTTCCTATATAGAATGTCCTGCATGCAAGTAGTTCTAAGGGTCTAAGCCGGTTTTCACTTTTAGAAATGAATCAAAGCTATTTTCTTACTCTAATCCTTTTGGACATCTACTTTGGTGTAATATTATGTGAAAACCGGCTTCTGCTCCCGCTTTGATATCCCTTCGTAGCTACAGGCTAACCCACTCATGGCCTCGTTGCAGCTTCCATTCTCCATCTTCTAGGTGGCTCCAACTTTGGCTCTCTGGCAGATGAGTTCCGCAACAATGGAGGTGCTCCTCCACCAGCAGCTCGTGGCGGCAATGGTCAGCAGCGCTCCTTTCTATCCCTCAAGTGTGGTTATTTAATGGACGAGGACTCCAGTCCGGACTCGGAGCGTCTTCAGAGCCTGGGCGATGTGGATAGCGGTCACAGCACAGCGCACTCACCGAATGACTTCAAGAGCATGTCGCCACAGATCACTTCGCCCGTGTCCCAATCTCCCTTTCCGCCACCCTTTGGGGGTGTTCCCTTTGGCCAACTAGAGATGCTGGAGGCCACACATCGCGGCTTGCACAAGTTTGTGCCGCGGCACCACGATGAAATTGAGCTGGAGATTGGCGATGCCATCTATGTGCAAAAGGAGGCCGAGGACCTGTGGTGCGAGGGCGTCAATCTGCGCACCGGACGCCAGGGCATCTTCCCCTCGGCCTATGCCGTCGATCTGGACTACAATGAGTTCGATCCCACGGTGCAGCTGGTGAAGAAGGAGCGCTACCTTTTGGGTTACCTCGGTTCCGTGGAGACGCTGGCGCACAAGGGCACGGGTGTGGTTTGCCAGGCGGTGCGAAAGATTGTCGGCGAATATGGAAGCTCACCCACCGGACAGACCTGCATCCTGGAGGTGTCCGATCAGGGATTGCGAATGGTGGATCGATCGGGACCGAATGTGAGTAGGGGGATTGATTCAGGAAAAGAATTGAAAGAAAAAATGAACTTGTTCCTGGTTTAACTGAATAACAACCCTCTAAACCGATGTCTCTCTTAAACAGCAAAACAAGAAGGATAAGAAGCCTTGCATCGACTACTTCTACTCGCTGAAGAACGTCTCATTCTGCGCCTTTCACCCTCGGGATCATCGCTTCATTGGCTTCATCACCAAACACCCGACGGTTCAGCGGTTTGCGTGTCACGTCTTCAAGGGATCGGAGTCCACAAGACCCGTGGCCGAGGCAGTGGGGTAAGTCCTGGTAAGGACACCTAGGATACCAAATCTAATAAACCCTTGCTTTCCTGCAGCCGTGCTTTTCAGCGTTTCTATCAGAAATTCATTGAGACCGCCTATCCCATCGAGGACATCTACATTGAGTAGAGAGTAACGTAACGTCAGGGTGGTTTGTGCTTCATTATCCCAATATGATATATTTTTTGTGCGGTTATTACGAATAAAACGATAAATCTCAAGAAATATTTGCTCTTCTTAAAGAGATTCTTAAAACAAAAATTCAATAAGCTCGCAATAGAAAACTCTAGCGATAAAAGAAACCAAACAATACATATAGATTATTCTAATTTTTCCGTTCCTACGAATTGTGCAAGATCTTAGACATGTAAATAGTTACCTTTTGGTTCCAAAACTCCCACTTGACACTCGCTTCAAGCAATCAGCAATAGCAATAGTTGCCCTTTATAGGAACACACCTTAAACACACTCGCACACACACCTAGCCTAGGTAAATGCACAACCAAGAATCCAAACGATAAGTTAAACTCCTTTTGAAGATCCTGAAATTTTGTATCGAAAGATACAGGCTCAGTTGGGTCTTAGATATATATTTTGAATTGATTTAACTTGAAGTAACTTGAAACCCTCTCGATCCATGGCACAGCACAAATACAGTGAGGCCAAAGTAATTTAGAGATCTAACAGATTTATATCCGAAGTTTAGTTATTACTTACATCTATCTTTCAGTTACAAGACTCAACAATATCGAACACCAGCTGCTACATTTTCAAGTATTCTCAATAAAAGCCCAGTTCTAAGATGTGTAAAACCTATAAAGTTGTATACAAAAAGACGAATATATATACTGTATATGTATACAAAGAAATATATAATGCAAATCATGCAAAAAGAAAACTTGGTTTTATTTAAACTTTGATTTTCTCAAAGTATATATTAACATTATAATATAAGTTTGTAAGCTTGTAACATTGTGAAGGAGTCATTTTAGACTCTAGAAAGTATATATATTCTTGATCAGCAACAAATGAATCGATCTAGGTTTGTTTGGGAGAAAAATACATATTCGAAATTTGTTCAAATTTGATAAGGGGGTACATCACAAAATTGTCAAAAATTGAAAATAATTTTAATTTTTTATAATATTTAATTAAGTATGCAGATTTCTTAACCTAACAAAAACTAGCACAAAACCGTTTTCCGAATTGAAATGATTGATTTTTTGGCTTAGTTATGATTTATCGAAAAACTTGTGATATAAAAATATGCATTCAAAGAATGCGAATATTTTAAGATTAATTATAAGTGATTTCCTATTCGATTCTATAATTAAATTGCAAACTGCAAGAGTGTATAGACATCGGCTTCCCGATGTTTCCTTTATTGTTTATGTATTATTTTGTCAAAATTACTTCTATACATACGTTGTCTCAAAAGTATACAACAATATTTCACTATGCTAAGTTATTTGTTAATAAGGTCTCCTAAAACGTTTCTTTACTAAACAAAGTCAAATTAAAGCTGCCTTAAAATAGGCAATAAAGCTTATTATTCCATTAAAAGACAATTAATTATGATGATCTATATCTCGACGGCTATTAAATGATTATTTATATTTAATCAAACAAATTATTTTGATAAGATCATCAAAGATATCTGTTATTAACTTTTGTGTGGAACTCCTAACCAAATTATAAATTACATTCTGCAAAAATGTATGTCGAAAGGTTATTTCTTAAGTACTTTTACCTAGTTAAAATGAATCATATTTAAGTTCAGTGTATCCTTTACAATTCCGGTTACTTTTCCGAGTTTCCTTTGTGGGTTCGACAGTGAAATTATAACTTCAAGCTTCCATGTTTAATTCCCGCCATCAATTTTTATGTTTTACCAAAGGAATTTAGTTTATTTGCCACATATATTTGCCATCGATCTATAACAATCACACATTATGGGTAACACCCAGATTCGAATACTGCTGAGCCATTACAAAGGCGATACATCAAGCAGCCTCGAGGCCAATAATTATTATGCAATTTATACGAAGTCGACTTTCTTTGAAGGCGGTTCATTGAACGGGTGGGCCGGTGCCGGTGCCGGTGCCTGGTCCAGGTCCAGATGCAGGTTCAGGATCAGGTCCGGGAGCTGCCTTTGGGCAGAGTACTCTAACAGGAGCACTTACTAAATTCGTGTCGCTGGTAATGGAAATGGAGAAGCCAGATGCCATGACTACGATGACTACTTACTAAACATCAGCCTTGGCAGCGACTTTGCGGCTGACTGGGGAGTGTGGGAACTGGTTTCGGAGGTTGGGAAAATCGGCACGGCATTCGCTTTATGCACTTGTCAGCCGGCCCGGCCTCTTTACGCTATCAATTAGAGATTAAACGACAATTTCAATTTAAAAAACGCTTGTAAAGCAGAGCAGCCAAAAAGCTAACCTGATTTGCCACACCGCAGAGGTGCAGCCAGGTGGGGGCAATAGACTCGTCAAACGATTTCAAAACTCAAGAAGGAGGCTGGGGCGATAAGCACACTTTGCCGCACCACGAATGAATTAGAGTTAGAACAATACACTGGGAGAATGGGAGTTTTTAAAAGGTAAAAAGTAAACTAGTTTCCTGTATCTTATCTACAAGATATTTGTTCAATTACTAAGACTTGAATTTGGAACTCATTAAAAAGATAGTTTCTTACATCCCACAGAACATATGGCAATAAACTTCCCTCTTGCTTAAAAAGTGTAGACTCCAACATCTTCAAATTAAGTAGACAATTTCTTTTCATTTGATCCAAGAATATTTATTCTAAGAGCGTGGTGTGTTTATCAATAAACATAAGCAAAGAGTTTTCCCCCCTGAAACAAGTTACCTGGGCTACGCGCCTGGAAGACCATGTGAAAAGCTACTCCAAGCGGCGGTAGCCGAGCCATCTCATCGCCAAACTTCATTCAGTCTGCAACTCGCGTTTCAGCCGAACAGACGCGCTTGAATCGCAGAACCGAAACCAGGTTTCAGTCTCCTCAGTTTTCAGTCAAGTGCAAGACCAAGTCCACGAAGAAGCCAAAGTCGTAGTCGCAGTTGGAGCGAGTGGTGCCCGGGTGGAAGTGGAGTCAATCAAACCGAGAGGCAACTAATAAAAAGTGCTAATGGTGTGTTTAAAATATGAATAAGCCGACGGTGCTGAGCCACAAACAACAACAAAAAAAGCGGTTACAACCAAGGCTAAAACCACAACGGTAACAATAACAAAAAAAGAGATTTTCTTTTTCGTGGGACGAAGAAATCGCATTTGCATTTCACCGCCACACTGAGCTGGGCTCGAAGATTAAATTGGATCAATCGATGTTTGTGCGCGAGTTGAGCTCTCTAGTTTTGGTGCCACTTTCATAAAGAAAAAAAGGTTGAGAGTAGAACCGACCGAATTAATAATAAATTCAAATCCAAATGCAAATATTGGGAACCCGTTAAGAGGTGCCGCAGAACAATAGCAGAGAAGCCGCATCTTGGGAGAGTCTTCTCCAGTCTCCAGGTTCCCCCGAGTGGGTAAGTAAGACTTCTTCTTCGACCCAACTTGAATGATCGATGCGGTTGTAACAACTGCGATTTGTAACTGTCACAACACAGAGAGACCACATCCAGACTTTGTTTCTATTTTTAAAGAAAATATTTGTGCAAAGTCAATGGATTGGCTTTAATGATGGAGCTGAGCCTGAGCTGCACTCGCAGCGGCGCTCTGCATGAATCAAAGTTATTAAATAATTAATGGCCAGCGGTGCAAAAAAGCAAGCTAAGAAAAGAAAAGCAAAGCTGGATTGCTGCATGTTCGGGCATTATTTACGGCCTGCTTAGCTAGGCCGCCGTATCTCGTGCTCTCATTAGGCCAACCATAGACCAGCTAGAATAATACTGGTAACCAGATCATTTGGCCATCGATCGATTTGCATCGCGTAGAAAGCGGAGGCTTCTGCCAATTTTTGGCAATTACGTAAAGCCCTGAGTGAGGAGCCAAATGATGTGATGCCATTTTAATGAGCCAACGGTTAATCGTCTCAGACAGAAGAAACCGAAACCATTTTCTAAGAAGGCAGTTTATTTTGGTCTCGGACCATTAGTCTCTTCCCAACTGATCCGTTACCACGGGCCTGTCCACGCGGACAACACGTTCCGCCACATTTAGGTACGCTTCGTACTCTACAATCTCTGGCGTGGTATCGTAGTGATAGTGACCACCCCAATTGCTGGCGGAGAAGGAATGAAAGTGCTGCAGGCGTAGATCGAGACCCATGTCCTTGGTCACCAAAGTGCCCACGGCATTCAGCTGGGCGGGCATATCGTAGAACTTGAGCCACTGTTGGATCTGTTCGTGGGTGTGGATCGGTGTCTTGCTAAAGTCTCGCATCACATGCTGATGCACACATCCCTTTTTGAGCCAAAAAGATGCCACCTAGACCCACCACCTGGTCATTGTAGTGCAGCTCCAAGGCTTTACGAATGCATTCGACAAAGTTATCTTCACCTGTGCGCTGTTGGCGTGAATCCTTAGAACCTCTCCTGGTTTACCCTCACTCAGAAAAGATTGAGGATGAGAGCGCAACGGGGTTCTGTTTCGGGTATTCTTTCCAGGACACACTCCTCCTTTCGCCTCTCACGGTAGCTGTGTAGCTTCCATTAGTTAACTCATCCTTCTCGCTAACCACAAAGTTAAAGATGCCCTCACAGTTGGAATTCCGAATGGGCCAGGGTCCAGCTCCAGGTCCCATAGCAAAGATCTTGCCAGGACCTTGACTTTTACGAGTGATCTCCTTCAGATTGTAGAGCTTATCCCGCTGGACAAGGGGTCGCAAGTAGGGCGGTCCACCTGCCTCTAAAAGAGTGGGTTTTCCACCTAATCCGCTCTCCATGAGACCATATTGCGATCCCTTGAGATCTGGACAGGGACCAACACTCACCTCAGCGTTGGCAAAGTTGGCACAAAGAGCTCCCTGTATTACTGAAAGGGAAAAGCTTTATCTGTCACAATCGGAGGAAGCATTATATTATCAAAAGTTGTGGGGGCATTCCACTGCTCACCTTTCTGCAGCTCTGCGAGCGGCGGCACATGAAGTGGCTTCTCCTCGAAGAGTAGCCCCTCCGTTTGAAGGTGACTCCCATTCATGTTATCTCTGAAAATGCCACGATATGAACTCAGGGACTTGCCTTGCTGGAGGCACGCGGCCAACTGACCGACGGACCAGCGTCTAGTCAAAATTTTCAACTATTTTGGGTGACGAGTGATAGTCTGCGGTCATATACAGGGCGCCCTCCCCACAACAGATATAGAATTTGGAGGTTTTTGGTATATTTTTAGTTTTTATTTTTATTATTATTCACTATTATTTACGAGGGGGGGGGCTTAAGGCAATGGAAAAAGTCGGTTACAATAAGATAAAATCTAGTCGCGTCCCACCTTGTGCGTAGACACGGGTTTGTCCACACGCACCACTCGCTCGGCCACATTGAGGTACGCCTCGTACTCCACAGTCTCCGGCGTGGTGTCATAATGGTAGTGACCACCCCAGTTGCTGAAGGAGAAGGAGTGGAAGTGCTGCAGGCGGAGATCCAGGTCGTGTTCTTTGGTCACCAGTGTGCCCACGGCATTCAGCTGGGCGGGCATCTCGTAGAACTTGAGCCACTCATTGACCTCTTCGTCCGTGTTGATTGGCGTCTTGCTAAAGTCCCGCATCACGTGCTGGTGGGCAGCGCCTTTCTTGATCACAAAGATACCGCCCAGACCCACCACCTTGTCGCCGTAGTGCTCCTCCAATCCCTTGCGGATGCACTCGATGAAGTTCTGCTCGCCGGTGCGCTGCTTGGCGCTAATCTTGAGCACTTCTCCGGGCTTGCCCTGGCTGAGGAAGAGATTCAGCAGCAGGGCGCAACGGGGTTCGGTGTGGGGAATCTTCTCCAGCACGCACTCCTCATGAGCTCCCCTCACGGTGGCCGTGTAGCTGCCATTATTCAGCTCATCCTTCTCACTCACCGACAAATTGAAGATGCCCTCACAGTTGGAGCGGCGGATGGGCCAGGGACCGGCACCAGCTCCCACGGCAAAGATCTTACCGGGACCTTGAATCTTACGGGTGATCTCCTTGATGTTGTACAGCTTTTCCCGCTGGACAAGGGGCAGCAGGAATGGTGGTCCGCCTGCCTCCAGCAGAGTGGGTTTGCCACCCAGTCCGCTCTCCACAAGACCAAAGCGAGGTGCCTTCAGATCCGGACAAGGACCCACACTGACCTCCACCTGGGCGAAATTGCCACTCAGGGCACCCTGTATCACTGCGGGAGAGAAGAGCAAACTATTAGCAAAGCTTTATATCTTGACCTCCATCTGGACATATAGCAAAAAGCTGCTCCAAAAGCTTTCGGCCAAAGAAACATATGTTTGTGTTTAGTCTGCGCAATGAAAACAGAAATCAAAATAAAACACAACTGGCCAGAACTGAGCGAAAACCGGCTATGGAAAGTTTGGCTATGGCACAGTTCTGAAGGTCATTTGGCTCCCAGAACACACAGAACACACAGCACACAGAGTACAGAGAACATATAGCACTCAATATAGCACGTATTGTTATCTGGCGGATCTGGGAAATCGGCTTAACGCTCACCGTTCTGCAGCTCCGGCAATGAGGGCACATGCAGGGGCTTCTCCTCGAAGAGCAATTGCTCGGTGTCTAGCTGCTTCTGGCTCATGTTTTTTCTGGTTATGGGCTGGTTGTGTCCTAGTTTCAGCTCCTTCTACTCCAAATCAGGTTCCTTTCTCACTCTCCGCTGGAGGCTACCGCTCGCTAGATCGTTGCAAACGCGACTGTCGGCACCAACCAGCTGGCGTCTGGCATTTTAAAGTTGAATGCTCAGTTGCTCAGCTCCCGGTTTATAATTTGCCCTATAGTTAACATTGCTAGACATACAGGGTGTCTTACCCTCCACTGATAAAGATAAGATAAACTCTTGCGGTGTATTTAGTTTAATTAGAGTCAGGGAAGACTCTCTTCTTCGAGAAGAACACACGCTTAATACGCATGTCAGGAAAGAAATCTGTCATATTTACGGTGCGGTTAATCCAGTACAGTAGCTCCTGCATTTAATCACCAAACTCAACCTACCCTACCAGTAACTTTCCACTTCACTGTTGTCACTTTCACTGGTCAGTGGAAAAATAAAAGGTTCTCTGTTTTCAAAAGGTCTTTAAGGGCTTAGGCTAAGGAACCCTAAAAACTGGCTGCTCCGGTTTACGGCTCCCATTTCCATATTCTTTGTTGACAAGAAAGTTGTTCTCCCAAGTTGCTTCTATAATTTATGCCCAATCAAATGCGTTTCCAGAAACTAATTGATGTTGGGATAAAGAAGAATGAAGAATGGTTATATGGTTATATGATAAACTCAGGTAGTAAAGTCTCTGCGTGGGCACCTTTCACTGTACCCCCTTTTTTTTGGGCGATAAGTCCAGGCCACTGATAATAGCTCTGCGATCGTGTATTGTCATTTAGCGGTCACGTTTGCTACGTCAGTGGTCGGTGGCTGATAAGAAACTGTGTGGTTTCGCTATATATGTATAAAGATAGTTCAGTTTGGGTGTGTCGCGGGTCAAGCCGCAAGTGTTGGCAAGTTAGGGCGCTAATTTGATGTATTGCCACGCTAATGAGCTGCCGAGTTGGCCTGGATCCATTTGATGAATGCCAGCTATTTGGGATTGGGATTGGAAGACATGCAATGACAGGCTCCACGCCTCATTCTGTCCAGGATCGGAGTAGAAGAAGACTGATATCATGTCCAAACTGGTCCAAGCAATCCATCATTTTGCCAATGCATGGATAGTTTATCATAATTACTAAGTGAACCGAGTGAGGAGTCCACTCTGCTCTGTTCTATTCTGATCTGTTCTGGCCATCTACAGGCATTGGTTCTGGCCAAGCGACCTCCTTAGAGGCCTGCAGAACTCGTTGCTGACCCAATTCCTCTGGCCGCCACTTCACTTTTTTCGCCAGCTCGGCCTGGAAACTGGTTAGGGGAATTGTGTCAGCGCTAATACTTGCATCCAAACAGACAGACAGACATCCGACTAACATATGTTGTGTTCTTCTCGTTGTCACATTAGGCAATGACTGACAGGCGCCGAACCGCGACGTCGTCGTAATGGGCAACCGCATTGCATCCACCCGAGGCGACATCTGCGGCGGCGTGGAGGAGGGAGCCGCCGGCGAGGGCACCTCCAGGTTCAACACGCGTCGTCGCTACCAGCAACACAAGCGGGAGTACTGCCTGCAGAGCGAGTATCGCTCCAAGACGCTCCCAGCCCGTCATCCGCATCATGACCAGAGCCACGATCAGGGCGAGGAGCGGCTGGGCTCCAGCAGCTGCCTAGGAGCCGGACCCAATGCCTCCAATGGCACGCCTCCACACAATGGGGAGACATCGAGGGTGCTGTTTCTGCTCTACTTGATCAATCGCACCTGGAACGTTGTCATGGACACGATGGACACACGCACCAAGAGGTAAGAATCCATTCTCAGGCCAACAACACATTCTTAATTATCATAAGCTAAAATAAATACATATTTTACTTTTTAATGAGTGATCCAAGCCACTAATTGAAGCTACTAATTATCTTTCAGTCGTTCTCCACGCGGCAATTCTCCGCAAAAGGAGGAGACCGCAGATATTGAGCTGCAAGAGCGGCCACTGGATGAAGAGTGCTCCATTGGCATCACCGACTTGGATGCCTCATCCCTCTGTTCCCAGTACTCTTGCTGCAGTTGCAGCTACTGCGATGTGGAGACAGTGGGCACACAGACAAATGTATACAGCTCCATTGGCGACGACTATTCCCTGGACTCGATGTATGAAGTGGGCAAATCGGTGGCAGACAGGTGAGCGAAGCAATTGATTTTATAGTCAGCCAAGGGGATATAGATGCCAGCTCTTGTCAGTGATGCTTTTCTACGAAACTAAAGCCTACTTTCTGGCTTTCCTACAACAGCAAACGGTATGCAATGAAAAGCATTTCTTCATTTTATGCTGATATTTTATTTGTGGAAAGAGTTTGGGAAAACCATTACTTAGAAGCAGCTGTCGATGGAGGCAGAGAGCCGCTGCAGAAGTGCCAGGTGGACCAGGCAGACCATCCCTGCTGGCTAAGGACCTTCTGGGCACAACGGACAGAGTGGGTGATGTCATCGGTCAACAGGGCATTGCAGCTCAGGCCACACTCGTTGTAGGAGAAGCGTCCAGAGGGAGGAGCACACCAGTAGTAGTCGTTGATCTGGAAGATGCCATAGTCGTTGGATCCATTGTAGTTGGTGGGACCAACAACTCCAGTGCGGTATGAGCTCTCATGCTCAGCAATGCAGGTCCAGCGAGCCAGTTGGTCACGAGGGACGCCCAAGTTGGACATCTCCCTAGCCAGGGAGCAACGGTCCATGGTGCGACCGAAAGCAGGAGCGGCCAAAGCCAGAGCAACCAGAACGATGAAAGCCTTCATGATTTCAAGTGTTTGAAACTAATGCCCAAACAGCAAATGGATCGTGTTTTTATACAAAATAAATCGCTGATATGGAGGAAGTTATCGTCGGCACACGTTACTGATACGAACTCCATTCCTGCGCATTTGCAGCAGAGATGGCCATCTTTTCATTAGCCTGATAGACCACGAAAGGAAAATTTTGAACTTTAAGGCCAACTGCACATTGTAGTAAACATTGCCTTATCAAAAAGCTGCCAAATTCAAGAGATTAGAAAACTGAACGAAAGAAATGGGTGAAAATATCAATGAGAATACTACAAGAATGGACAAACATTGATAAACTCATATTAAATAACAAAATGTCAGCGATCTATTAATTTAAATCAATATTTGCCATCTCAATTTTATTCGGGGACTTTTTTGTGGATATTTCCCAAATGTTATCTGTGAGATATGATGTCTAAATTCACCTATAAAAGGGAGGATTTTGTGTTTGTTCTACATTAGTTTCAACTACTTGAAATCATGAAGGCCTTCATCGTTTTGGTTGCTCTGGCTTTGGCCGCTCCTGCTTTCGGTCGCACCATGGACCGCTGCTCCCTGGCCAGGGAGATGTCCAACCTGGGTGTTCCTCGTGACCAGCTGGCTCGTTGGACTTGCATTGCCGAGCATGAGAGCTCCTACCGCACTGGAGTTGTGGGTCCTGAGAACTACAATGGCTCCAACGACTATGGCATCTTCCAGATCAACGACTACTACTGGTGCGCTCCTCCCTCTGGACGCTTCTCCTACAACGAGTGTGGCCTGAGCTGCAATGCCCTGTTGACCGATGACATCACCCACTCCGTGCGTTGTGCCCAGAAGGTCCTTAGCCAGCAGGGATGGTCTGCCTGGTCCACCTGGCACTTCTGCAGCGGCTCCCTGCCCTCCATCGATAGCTGCTTCTAAGCTGTAGTTTTGATTTCCCAGTAAAACACTTTGATTCGCAATATAGTGGGCTTATTTCTGGAGGGGATGTGCTCTATCTAATCACTGCTCAGGGAGTTGGAGTTGGATTCCAGCGCTTGACAGTGTTCATCATCAAATTAGAGGCAAGCAGTTGCTGCTCTAATACTTGGGAGCGGGATCTTATACGGTGAAGAGGGGACTGGTCTTATACTAGAGCGGGAGAGCGCCTCTTCGGCTTCGGACTGGTAGAGTCTTCGGACTTGTTGTAGAGCGTCTTCGGGTCTGAAGCTAGGCTTGGGTTGAAACCGTGTCGGCGACTTGGGATCAGTCGGTGCGTGACTTCTCTTCGAGGCGGACGTGTTAAGATCGTATCGGAAGCGGAGACGAAACTCTGTTTTGGTTACCAATTAAGTCGAAGTCGATGGCTCAGCTAGATAGGCTCGAGGTCTAGCCAAGTTCAATCGATGATCGACAGCCTTTGGGCTTAAGTGCGGCAAACGAATCGAACTCAAGTCCTATGAACCTGAGAACTGAGAACTACAACCTCTCTAACTCTCTCCCTGGGGACTGTTTGTTACGTGTCACTGGTGATTACGCGATATGCATTTTCTTATTGTGTATTCTCGGTTGAAACGAGTTTGATTGGATATAGAAAAGTGCGACTAGTCGATTCTTGGTTCTCAAGTCGCAAGTCGCAAGTCTCCAGTCTCGATTCTCGCTCTCCGGCTAACAGCATCGCGAGTGGAGTGCGCGCGCTTGCGCAGATTGCATTCTGTTGGTAACGGTAAAACGAGTACAACTCGGGGGGACTGGACCCGGCTAGAACTGGCCCCAACTGGCCTATTGCAGCATCCACGGACCAAGCTCCAAGCAGCCATCCATCTGCAATAATAATAACACAGACCAAGAGGCAGAGGCACAGCGGTTCTGGCTTCTTGCTAATCTTCTCAATTTGTGCCCCTTGTCCGATGACGACGCAAAGTGCAGCATGAAAGTCAGTTCCAAGTAGGAGGAGCAGTGGTTGTGCTCTGAGTGTGTGTGTGTTGTGTTGTGTGTGCTTTGGAGTCGGGAATTTGAGAACATTCTGTGGCCCAATTCGGAATCGTGTCAATATACTCCCAGAGCACAGCCGAACCTGATCCCAAATTGGATTTCGGACGACCAGCAAAACCAGGAGAGGAGCCAAGTTCTAGGTAAGCGCAAGTAGAGGATGATGATGAACTAGTTCAGTCAAGTCCAACTAAGTCAGAGGGTCAGTCTCTTGGTCAAGATGGTATCCGATGCGTGCCCTGAGTTCAAGCCATATATGCTAATGGGCAGCAACTTTCTTTTGGAATCTAGATATGTAAGTAAGTCCCCTCTCTCCGCTAGCTCACTGGGCCGTGTGGGTAGCTCTGACATTGAACTGTGACGCCCACGCAGAGCACAAATCACAGATCACAGATCACTGAAAAAGAAAGACATTGTGTGGTTCCAAGAAGCAGAACTCAGCTATAAAGAAAAAGAGCGTTAAGACTACTGCGTGTGCGTTATAAAAGTATGAAAACAAATTACATTTAACTGTACTCAGGGGAAGATTGAAGTGAAAATTGAATTGGCAGCGGCACGAGACTTTGGCGTCTTCGCCGAAGCCCCAATCCGCACCAACAATGCCACTTTGTCCAGAAAGCCAAGCTCGAAAGAGGAAAGCCCAACAAAAGAAGTTGGGGAAATCAGGGAAACGTTTGGGGAGGGGGCTAAAAACGAACAAGAGATTGTAAATAAATAAATAACACTAGCAGAGGCAGACAGAAACCACACATTCCGAGTAAAAAGCGAGTGTAGTATGCCGGCGGCCCGAACTATAGAAAAATCTGTTCCGGTCTGATTTAACAATAGTTAAACAGCTTATAATGATGAAGAGGAGGAGCAGGCGGAGGAAGAGGAATCATAGAAGGAGGAGTAGGTGGCCCCAGCTAACTTTCGGCTTTGCCCGAAATAGAAATTGCTTTCTTCTTTAGCAAAATTTTCCAGTTTAGGCATCTATTCTTCAACTAAGCCTCGAAGTAGGGAACTAGGACTACCCTTTGGGTAACTGCATCAAATGAGACACATTAGCTTGGCCATCAGCAGATGTTGGACACCTTGACAGGCCCTGACAAATGAAGCAATTGGTTAGAGATTGGGTAACCGCACTTGGGCAACAAAGAGCCAAAGCTCTGGCTTTGTGCACTGGATTCGAATGGAGCTATGGGCCCTGAGCCAGGGGGCTTTGTTGGATCGGAACCCAGACTAATTGGAGCCAATGAATGGGCCGACGCCAAGGCAAGAGACAGGCAGGCTGACTGCCAGTCGAGATCGAGATCAGAGGCCAATTGGCCAGACAAACAGTCACCCGGCGTACACAAGGGCTGCTCTGTATCCATTTAGGGCAGGTGGACTTGGTACCATCTGCAGTGGGGATTCACCAGCACCAGTTTCCGCAAATACTTCATTCAAATTATTATCGGAATGCTCCGTCAATCGAATTATCAATGGTTACCTATCAATATGGTCCGATTTCCCTGCGAATCTTTCTTCTTCTTTTTTTCGAAACGTCCAGATTAGCGAGCCCCATTCAAATCAAAATAGTAGTACTCGAGATAAGCCCACTTGGCTAGATAATTTTCCGGCTATAAAAGCGCTCTTCCTTGAGGCAATAGACATCAGTTTTCGTCAATATGAAGGCCTTCATCGTTCTGGTTGCTCTGGCTTTGGCCGCTCCCGCTCTTGGTCGCACCATGGACCGTTGCTCCCTGGCTAGGGAGATGTCCAAGCTGGGTGTTCCTCGTGACCAGCTGGCTCGCTGGACCTGCATTGCCGAGCATGAGAGCTCATACCGCACCCATGTGGTTGGACCCACCAACTATAATGGATCCAACGACTATGGCATCTTCCAGATCAACGACTACTACTGGTGCTCTCCTCCCTCTGGACGCTTCTCCTACAACGAGTGTGGCTTGAGTTGCAATGCCCTGTTGACCGACGACATCACCCACTCCGTGCGTTGTGCCCAGAAGGTCCTTAGCCAGCAGGGATGGTCTGCCTGGTCCACCTGGCACTTCTGCAGCGGCTCCCTGCCCTCCATCGACAGCTGCTTCTAAATTGATTCTGACCCCGAATAAATGATTGCATAAATGACTATAAAACTATAAACTGGTTATTCCTATAAGATTTAATAACAAAAGTGAGGTTTAATTCGCTGAAGTATTTAGTAAGCTTAAATCCTTTTGTTTTAACCAGCTTTCTCCCAATTTCGATGGAGCCCCAAGGCAATCCCATTTCATTTCGTTTAATAATCTGCTATTGTGAGCTCAATTCCGAGGAGCCCTAGGCTCTAAGCAATCAGTTTTCGGTGGCAAAAATGCGTATAATCGATATGACATTATTGTGTTCGATTCTCTCTCTCTCTGTTGGCGGTGAGACGGAAGTTCGTATTATTACCAAGTTAAATTTAGAGTCATTGACGGGTTCTGCGCTCAAGAGCTACCAGTTCGACTGGTTCGAGCCTCATGTCGAAGCCGAATGGAATTATAATGAATTTGTCTGCGTTTGCATATTATTTGGCTTTGACCCGCTGTCATTTTTTAGCTGTCAGTCAGGCGAAGCATTAAGTTTACTTTCTATTGGGGGGAAAACTGGCCAAAAAACCGATCGAATATATTTTATGCTTCTCCCCCAAAAGTTTCTAACTTCGCACATCTATTTATGGTTTTATCACTGCGATAAGCAAATGCAAATTAGGTGTGCATATTCTATTAATCAGATTAGAAAGTATTTGGGAAATAACTCAATAAAAAAGGGCAGACCATAAAAGTGAAAACTGATTAGAATCGCTTGTTTTGCAAGTTTATTATATAGAATAAAGTAGTAATATGTAATAAAAGTATTTTTAAATTAAGTAGAGTACAAATTTTGGATGATTTCTATATCTAAAAGACAATAAGGAAATTAGCTTCGAAAGAAGAGGAACATCTGGTTTTTTGTATCAGGGATCAAATTTGAAATGCATTAATTTCAATTTGGAAAGCGGGTTGGTGCTTGTTTTTATAAGATAGATAAGATCATAATCAATTCAGCTGTTGATGCTGATCAAGAATATAAATGATTTATGTTGTCGGAAATGACTCCTTCACTATTTTTGAAGTTCCTGATTTCAAAGGCTAAAAGAGTTGATATTTTATAGGGCGCCATTATCTTGCCATTTCAAGTGAGCTTTGAATATTTGCAAATATTCTTTAAGAAGGTGCACACGAGACCTCTAAGAGACACTTATTCACTTATATGGCCAAACAAAATTTAATTTATTAATTAATTATCAGAGACTTTCAGCAAAGTGGCCTAAAGTGGGTCCTTTAAGTTAACACAGATTGCTACAAGTAGGTCTCTGCTCCATCCCATCTCTCTGATGATGTCTTTCTGGCTTTTTAGAGCAAGTAAGATTTATTTTTTGAAGCTAAGCATTTGCTTTTTTAAGCCATTAACCTTGTTAACATCGCCGCTGCGTCTTGACTGGGCAATTACGAGTGTTTAGTGGGCAGAAGGTACGGGCTACACGAGCTCTACTTTAGTGCACTTAAGTGAGTTGTGATTTGGTAAAGAACTCCAGTTGGTCGGAGGCTTGGCCAACGCTTGCAACGGTTGTAAAACCACTGAGTTGTCAGAGACCCAAGGCTATCACGCATCATCATCAATAGGTGTGCTGCACACACGGCTTTCCCGAGCTGTTTGGACTTGGACCAAAGAAACGACTCCAAATTTAACACCAACTTCAACTTCAACTCCAACTCAGACTCAAACTCGACTCCGACAAAGACTAACGATCGACGACCTAACCGCAAGTATGCAAACTACGAAGCCACAATCTGTGCCTGGCTGTTACATTAACCCCATTCGCAGCTGCGGGGAGGGGCAGGGCAATCCGCTAGCGGTACTCCTGGGGTTACAACAAGTGGGCCCAAACCGAGCGCCAGTTGCCTGCGGAGGCAGCTAAGAGTCATTCGAGGCATTCCGAGATTTCTGCGATGCCAAGAAAGTTGTTAACCTTTCGCGTGTGTGGCTAACAGCAGAGACAAATGACAAAAGGCTACTGTGGAGGCATCATCGAGAGATGGTGCTGGATGCTGTCAGGCCGAAGCTGTCTTCACATCCCAGCTGTGGCCAGAGAGCTCTCCAGTTAGACTCCAGCCTCGGGCATTCAAGCGTGACCCCCTTAGAGCCCCATGAATTATAGATGAATTCATAAATGAATGCTAATTTGTGGATGAGTGGAGATTCGAGCCTTTGCTCAGCTTCGATGAGTTGTCGGTTCTATTGTCATAGAAGAATGCTCATCACTTTTACTTTTTGCTGATTTATCGAAGATGCTAATGGCTTTTCTTCCCCAAACTGTGTCAGCTAACAGTTCTGATCGAGAAGAATTTTCTGTCGTCTGACAGCCAGACCCCATTGCATATGCATGAGTTCGCTGCGGAGTGTACAAATCGGCCCAGGCCAATTAAACCTCATTTCCATTCGAGTCGTCGCTAATTGTCAGCCAAACTTTGGGCCGAGAACGGTTAGGATAATGGCCAAGAGTCGCCGAAGATAAGACAAGAAGCCGCCATAGCTGTTCTTCCCCATTCGAACGGTTCTCCATCTTCATTTGTGGCAATTACAATCAGTTGAGATTAGAAAAATGGCCGACGTCATTGGAGTTTGTAAACAAACACGGCCGATAAGAGGCCGTTGGATCAATCTACTTTGTAGCCATTCAGAACCCTTTTGGATGCTATCGCCAAATTTTCATCGCAATCGTATTTGCCATTGACAGCCCAATAAGCTTATCACCTTATCGCCCCTCGAGTGCTCTTCTTTGCCCCATTGATAAGGTACTTTGCGAGGAATATAAAAGCACGCCTCGCGAGGACCTGATCATCAGTTTACTTTAGTAAATAAATCAACATGAAGGCCTTCATCGTTTTGGTTGCTCTGGCTTTGGCCGCTCCTGCTCTTGGTCGCACCATGGACCGTTGCTCCTTGGCCAGGGAGATGTCCAACCTGGGTGTTCCTCGTGACCAGCTGGCTCGTTGGACTTGCATTGCCGAGCATGAGAGCTCCTACCGCACTGGAGTTGTTGGTCCCACCAACTACAATGGATCCAACGACTATGGCATCTTCCAGATCAACGACTACTACTGGTGCTCTCCTCCCTCTGGACGCTTCTCCTACAACGAGTGTGGCCTGAGCTGCAATGCCCTGTTGACCGATGACATCACCCACTCCGTGCGTTGTGCCCAGAAGGTCCTTAGCCAGCAGGGATGGTCTGCCTGGTCCACCTGGCACTTCTGCAGCGGCTCCCTGCCCTCCATCGACAGCTGCTTCTAAGTTGATTCTGACCCTGAATAAAATAATGACTTGAACCTGCATTTTGCATACTATTTTAATTCAGAAATTAGCATTGAAGTTTAATAGGTCTTTAATCTGTGCAGGAATGCCTCTGTATAGTTTCTCTTCTCAAACCTAAGCCTTTGTGATCTTATGTGACTTTTACGGTTGATGGATCTGCCTGATGGTTGTCTGACATGATCACTTTCTAATTTTGCCAAAAGAATATTATATGAATTAGCCAATAAACATAAAAATGTTGCTCTGCCTTAAGTATCGTTTCAAAGAAGAAACTTTGCTAAAACAAAGAGCCTTTAAAATATGCACAAAAAAATAATCATTGTTAAAACAAACAAAGATGCAAACATCGAGTGACTAATAAATTAGTAAAGCTGCTATTCGCAACTCTTCTCCAATAGAAAGTAAACTCGAAGCTACGTTTTCAGCGGGTCAAAGTCAAATAATAACCCCGCCTAGGCATATTCATTATAATTCCATTGAGCTTGGACTTGTCTTTTGCTAGAGTCCCAAACCAGTCTGACGAGCTCTCCTCAGCGCAGAGCGCGACAATGTTTTTATATATTTAAATATACAAAGGCTCCGAGCGAAACATGCAAGCTTAGGCCAGCTTCCGCTTCAAAAATTAAAAGGTACAACTGTCAAACTTAAGAAAACAATAATGTCATATCGATTATAGAAATGACTAAGAGCCCCGGGGCGTCCTCGAATTACGCTTTGTGACCACGAATAGCAATTATCCCTCGATTGCAATCTCTTTGCCCGAGGTGGCAATTGCAGATCGGAGAGAAAGTGGGAGCCCAGAGATCGAAAAAGCAATTCTTCTTTTAAAGCGTCTTTATTTCAAATCAAAACCTCCTCCAGCTTAGAAGCAGCTGTCGATGGACGGGAGCCATCCGCTGCAGTAGTGCCAGGTGGACCAGGCAGACCATCCCTGCTGGCTAAGGACCTTCTGGGCACAACGCACGGAGTGGGTGATGTCATCGGTCAACAGGGCATTGCAGCTCAGGCCACACTCGTTGTAGGAGAAGCGTCCAGAGGGAGGAGAGCACCAGTAGTAGTCGTTGATTTGGAAGATGCCATAGTCGTTGGATCCATTGTAGTTGGTGGGTCCAACCACATGGGTGCGGTATGAGCTCTCGTGCTCGGCAATGCAAGTCCAGCGAGCCAGCTGGTCACGAGGAACACCCAAATTGGACATCTCCCTGGCCAGGGAGCAACGGTCCATGGTGCGACCAAGAGCGGGAGCGGCCAAAGCCAGTGCAACCAAAACGATGAAGGCCTTCATGTTAATGCTTTTCAATAAACTGATGTCGAAGGCAGGATGGTTTGTGCTTTTATAGCAAAACCCTTTCCTGATAAAGGAATTATCTCACACATGTGCCCTGATTGCGTCTATTGCTGCTCTGGTTTACACCCAAGCTTAATGACGATGGCAATTAACCATAAGTAATAATATAATGTATCTACAGACCGCAAGTCTGCGTTTTTCATAGCCCTGGCGACATAAGATAGGAACCGTATGATTGATGAAGAAGCCAACTAGCTGATCATCCCATATATTGACAAACACTGAAAGATATTGATAAGATACTTTCAGTAGGAATTTATATAATTCGTTAATCATAAAGTTTTCGGGGACTTTTTTGGTCAAGAGATATTTTCGAGAGATATTCATTTAATGATAGCCCAAGGAAGGACTATCTTGAGTTAGTTTAGATAAGGCAAGAATTTCGCCCTATAAAAGCGCGACCCTTGGGGACTTGGACATCAGTTTTCTGAAAAATATCAACATGAAGGCCTTCATCGTTCTAATTGCTCTGGCTTTGGCCGCTCCTGCTTTCGGTCGCACCATGGACCGCTGCTCCCTGGCTAGGGAGATGTCCAACCTGGGTGTCCCTCGTGACCAGCTGGCTCGCTGGACTTGCATTGCCGAGCATGAGAGCTCCTACCGAACCCATGTGGTTGGACCCACCAACTACAATGGATCCAACGACTATGGCATCTTCCAGATCAACGACTACTACTGGTGCTCTCCTCCCTCTGGACGCTTCTCCTACAACGAGTGTGGCCTGAGCTGCAATGCCCTGTTGACCGACGACATCACCCACTCCGTGCGTTGTGCCCAGAAGGTCCTTAGCCAGCAGGGATGGTCTGCCTGGTCCACCTGGCACTTCTGCAACGGATGGTTGCCGTCCATCGACAGCTGCTTCTAAGCTCGCTTAATAAACTCCACCTTAATTGAAATTTGCACTATTTTGTTGGGGAATCTTCTTCATTGTCCTAGTATTAGAAATACTTGTTCATACATTGTATGTAAACACATCTCCCTTGGGTATCAAAGACCACAGTTGTGATCATTTTCATTGGCCTGCTGTATGGTTCTTCAATTATTGGCTTTCTTCACACACTTTCTAAATGAAAGAAAATCGAAGAGAAAGAGTGGAAACAGCTTCGGAACAGCTTCCCTTCTAGAAGAGTGGCCACAGGCCGATGACTTTGACTGGGACCGGTCAATGAATTCTTAATGTGGCCAACGCAGTGGGCAATAAATTATACAAGTAGCCGTCCGGCTCTCTTGTTCTAAGAGTGGCTGGTGGTGATAAACGAAGGTAAACTGGGCACCAGCTCAGAGTTTCAGAGTTTCAGAGTCTCAGAACGGGAACGGGAACCCAGAGCCCGGCCAAAGGAAGTGGAAACGCATAGAGACAAAGACCCTCGGCTGTGATCGTCTGAGGAACAGGCTAAAACAAAGCAGGAAATCAAAGACCGGAAAATTATACCATTCCTAGGGACGGAGGTGGAGATGGAGTTTGGTGGGGTTCGCGGATCGTAGATAGGGGAGTTACTGCCAGCCGGAGTGTTTCCTATAATCTGAGCACATTAGCACAAGTCGGAAAGTCGGAAAACCGACTGGAAATGGAAGTGCATAAGTAATTGCCCTAAGGTTGAGAGGTTCGGCGCCCTCTGGAGCGACATTGCGTGGGTCAGGCTAAGACAATTGCTGCCGTTGGGGAAGTCAGTGGAGCGTTAAGTTATGATGGTCCACAGATAACAATTCCACTCGGGAGTCGACTTACCGCAATAAGCTTTACACTCGGTTTGTGGCCCATCTAATTGGTCTGGGGCCTGGGTCTGGGTAGGAGTAGCAGCTGACAGATGGAAGGAACAGGTAGAAGGGTGCCTGGGAAACAGGTTACTGGTGAATATAGTTGAGAAAAACAGCCAGAGAATTTAATAACTACCTTCAAGGAAGTGCCAAAGAGGAAGTTTAGATGGTAAAGAATAGGTGGAATTTCAGATAAACAAAGTTCCAAGTCAAATGATTTCTGAAAACTACATTTTCGAATGAAAAAAATGTAATTATAGCTCTGTAACTAGAATGAACCTAACAACAAACTTAGAATTAAGAGTTCCATAGAAAATTATGACATTAAAAAGAAGGAAACGATGAAATCCTTTCAAAAAATGTATCCTAATTAGGAAATAGTAAATCAAACTGGAAATCTGCCTTAAAAGAACCTGAAAATTCCGCAATTCATGTGATTTTCATTAAGATTGAAGAGCGTAATTAAATTATCAATGGATCCCCTTCAGTCGACATATCTTCAGACGATTTGCCACTTGGCATATAATCATGGAACTTATGCCCCAAGTTGTACAAATCAATAGCCAATATCTCGGGGGTTTACCTTTATCAGCTTTTCAATATTATCAGCTCCCTCGAGTTCCTTTCGAGACTCTCGAGGAAAATGTCTAAAGTCAAAGTCTCATCGCAGTTGGTTTCCCTGTTCGACGGAGTCAACAGTGTGTGGCAGTGACAGAGATCGCTCCGTAGAATGTTCTAGATGAAAGCAGGACAGGATCGGATTACCAGAGATATGATAACTATGACGTTATCTTTGCGTACGAGGGGTAAGTCTTCTCTTGTGGATGCTCAGGCCCTGGCTAAACTTGCACAATCCCGAGATGATCGCATTACCCATTCTTCCACTTTTCCACGCGGTTAACTTGACATGATCTTCAGCGGTTCAACCATTGTCAAAGACAGGCCAACGGTGACACTGGCCCCCACTTTGGGGGCCGGGCCACTTTCGGCATCAATTACCTGCCACCGATTCGACTCACAAATTATAAACATTTCTCTCTCTCTAAATCTCTGTGGCAGCAGCTCCAAAACGCAACTGTGTCAAAAGGCAAGCTCCAGAGACTTTAAGCACCAAAAACTCGGCGCCCCACGCCCCGCTGCGAGACAAACCCTAATTATATTATTTGACAGCTGCGGCCTGCTGATATATAACCTCGGGCGGGCGCAGGTGCCCTGCAATCTGTTGTTAAAAACAAATCCCAGTGAAAACTATAATGAGCGTTGGAAAAGCTCTTCTTCCAAAAAAATAATACAACAACCATTTTAATTTGGAGTCAAGCGCAACGCCGTCAAGCTTGACAGTCGTCCGTCGACGACAATCAAAAAGATGACAAAAGCCGGGGAATGGGCGATAGCTCAAGGGAGCTGACAGCCTTGGGAAATCTCCATAGGAGAGATCTCTCGGTCTCGATCTCGATCTCTGACAGCTGAAAAGTGGCCACATTTCTCTCTATCTCCCTGGCTTTTGTCGGTTGCTAAATTCTCCTAATAGTTTTATCTGCGACTGAGTTTCGTGTTTCGAGTGTGGGTAAAATTTGCCCCGTACAAATGCAAATGCAAATGGGCTAAAGAAATGGAACTGCCATGAGAACTTTTGCATGTCAGCCAGCGGTGACTTAATCTCTGGCATCATCGTCACAAAGGTGTCACTCCACTCTGTAGCAAAAACAAAAAAAAGCCCACATCCGAACCCAGCTTATATTGTGGTGTCTCTGCAAACACACATAAACCAGGTGTATTTCCCATTCCTCGGCTTGTGTAACGCCACATACAAAACAATTTGGCAAGGTGTCAGCTCAATGCGAGGCGAAACTTTCCCATTTCCATGTCCAGTCCATCTTCTAGCTTTTTATGATCTGTCCGAAATGGATTTTCCAAGGAGAAGAAGAACTCAACTTGATGGGGATTGGGGTCTCATCTCGGATTCAATACCTCCTGGAATGTCGATTAACCCGGCCCCAAAACACGACGACACCCTTGAGAATAGCTTAGCAAATTAATACATTAGGCTCTAGGCCGACTTGTACCTAGTCTTCGCCAATTGGCAAGGCCCCAAACGAACTCTAAATGGCAAAGTTGATCTCCGGCGATTAGCCGCAAATGGCAATCCCATAGACCTACATCATGTCTCTGCTCCATCGCTCCATCGACTGCCATAGATGTAATTGAATCGAAATTGTTTTCAATCGAGCTAAAGTCCGTTGGCACTAAGAGGCCTCAACTGGATGGAAATGGTGGTGGAGACGGGGACGGAGACAAAGATCGAGATACATACATAGTCGTACCATCCATGATAAATGCAGCGATAACGGCGACTTTTCATACGTAATTTGTTTTATGCCTGGAAATTAAATTAACTTGTTTGCCAGCCAGCCATTTGCCAGCTGCTGGCCAAGATAGAGGCTCCGCTTTAATGTCTAATAGATTTCATTCGCTTTGGCCAGGCCAACTGTCATAATGACTCTGTTATGTGTGGGCCATTACATATAAAATTTCACTTTTTGCCGACGCCAAAAAGGCTAGAAATAGGAGTCCACTGTCGGCGACAGTTTTGCAATTCCCGAGCGACACTAAGAGCCTAGTTTTTATTTACTTTATTACTATTTGGCATCGAGCATTTGAGATACTTTTTATACCTTTTATACTTTTATACCCGGGGTATTATAACTCTAGTCAGAAGCTTCAAAAGTAGTGAAACGTTTTGTTTGAAGTCATCGTAGATCGAGGCTAAAGTTGCCAGAGAAGCTTCTTAAAAGAAAAATAAATACGGAAATATTCAGCATCCAAATATGGCGATACTCCCCAGCACTCGATCAATCTACAATCTATCTACGCATCAAATAAAGCCCACCAAAATTGTATCTCAGCATTGTGCGTAAGATACATCTGGTGATGGTGATCGTTGGCAGTTCGCTGTCTTCCAGCTGCTATTCGAAATATTTATCTCAAAACTATATGGCAGGCATTGTCTTCGCCATATCTTTTGGTGGGTCTCTGCTCACGCAACTCGGGTGCGGTTGCATGTTGGGGCAAATTATTCATAGTTATTCATTGTGCGGCATCCGAGGCATTCGGGACTGGAAATGGCAATGCATATAGCCGCAAATATAACATAGTATCTCTTTCTTCTCCTGCCCAGACGAATTCCCATCTTTTGCACGGCCCAAGTTTAATGTCCGACTTTGAAGTGGAGTGGAAGTGGAGTCGCGGGTTTAATGGCGAAACAGCACCACTTGACTGCAGCTATTAGCCCCCAGTTGTGGTCTGGTTTATGGCCAGGCTGAGAGTGTGATTAATCATTAATCATCTGGATTACCACTTGGGCGGCTCCCGGGCTCTATCTCTATATATATATTTTTTGGGGGCTACTCGAACTCAAGGGGCTTTCAGGTGGCACAATGGTCCCCCTTCTAAGCCCATCGTCATTGTTGATATAACAGCAATTATGCTAATCAGCAGCGAGGGCACCACTCGTACCTTTCTCCTCGATTCATTGAACCTCTGTGGCCCCTTCCCTCGAACAATGACGAGATCTTGGTTAACACTCGGTTTTCAAGGTGGTTGATAGCGGCTTATCAGTGGAAAGCTTCGTGTGAATTTCCCCTTTTCGGGGGGGAGCCTAAAACTAGACTGCATTCGCGAAAGAATTGTTCTTTTAGTCTCTTTGAGATTGAACCCTATGATGTACTCGACTTCCTGATAAAGTTATTTTTGTCTTATTTCACGTTGTTTTGGCCGTGAATGAATTATTTAAATCTGTAGAATTGCGACTTTTTTAATTATATTTCTATCTTTGAGTGTTACGAGCTCAAGGGCTGATAGGCCAGCCAAACGGTCGGCCCAATTTCCCATAAATACCCAAGCAAGGAGCCGAGTTAGCCAAACAGTTTTGTTTAGACCAATTCAATCGACATGAAGGCTTTCATCGTTCTTATGGCTCTGGCCGCTTGTGCCGCCACCGCTCTGGCTGGCCGCACCCTGGACCGTTGCTCCCTGGCTAGGGAGATGTCCAACCTGGGCGTTCCTCGTGACCAGCTGGACAAGTGGACCTGCATTGCCCAGCATGAGAGCGATTACCGCACCTGGGTGGTCGGCCCACCCAACTGGGACGGCTCCAACGACTATGGTATCTTCCAGATCAACGATCTGTACTGGTGCCAGGCCGATGGACGCTTCTCCTACAACGAGTGTGGCCTCAGCTGCAATGCCCTGTTGACCGACGACATTACCAACTCCGTGCGTTGCGCCCAGAAGGTCCTTAGCCAGCAGGGATGGTCCGCCTGGGCCGTCTGGCACTACTGCAGCGGATGGTTGCCATCGATCGATGAGTGCTTCTAAACAGATACTGACCCCGAATAAAATCAAATGCATATACACTACGTCATTATGGTTGGTTAATTGGAGAAGTAAGGGTTCCACCAAGGACTCTTTAAGAGAAACGGAGCACCGAGATTGCCTAAAGTTGTAGGTCGTGAAAAATAGGTCATCAAGCTGGTTTCCTTTTCTCCAACAAAAGTCATATCTGGGAAGGTCTTTCACATGCTGCACATGAACCCCGCCAATCAATAGCCATCTTAAAGTTTTTACTACTCCATTGATAAGTGCCTTTCAAAGTATTGACACTCGAATGTTTAAAAATAATCATAAACTCTGTCTGACTTATATGGCCAACTAATGGAGAGCACTCGCCTCGTTGGGACCATTAGCCCGATGGAGGCTTTTTCACGGCTTATCAATTCCAGTTTGTGGAGCAGTGTCTTCGCTCCGCGATTTCAATTTCTGCCTCACAAATTGATTTATGCAGATTTTAGTGCTGCAACCCCAGTTGCAGACTTCGCTTTTGAGTGATCTCTCAACACCCATCGCTGCCGTTGAGTTTCTCCTGTCTGCGGCCAGTGGCTGACATTGATCGAAGTGCTTTTTGTGTGTCTGCTGTGGGAACCGCATCTCCGTCCAACCTCGACTCCGACTTGGACTGCAGCTTGGAGTTTGCGTGAGGGGCAGGTGCACACACACACACCTGACGGAAAGAACCGAATGCCTGAGCATCTGCGGTACGTGACTGATTGGCGGATCGATCGATCCGGGCTGAGGTAACCACATGGGCACATCATAACCATCGAACCCCGCACAATGCCCGCGCCATTTGCATAGCCACTCATATGTATGAGCCGTTAACCCCTCATTGTGCTCTAACGGTATTGGGGGCCTCGAGAGGGAACCAAATGTATCTCTCTCTTATTCATCTGGGCGGGCAGTGAAAGTGTCTTTATTTCTAGCACATTAAAATGCAAATTTAGCAGCAAAACGAACAAATTAAATAACAAAATCAGTGACTGTCACAGATCAACTTCAATCGGTGTTCGATCGCTTAGTGGTTAGTGCTGGTTAGTGGCTAGGAAACGGGGCCCACAGCCCACATACTCGCACCTCGTCTCCATTTGGGTGTCGTTGACAGCGGATATCGAAGGCACCTGTCCAGAGTCCACTCCAGCTCCAGCTCCAACTCAAACTGCGTGTGCGACTGCCACTGCAGCAGAGATAAGCCTTGCCTCAAATACGAGTACTCGCAGAAATATGTTCAATAAACTTAACGGCTTGTTTTTCCGGTGCGTTACGTGGTGGCGACCCAAAACTCCGAAAGCTCTGCAGCTTATTTATGGCCGGGCTGAATGCAAATTCGAGTTCTCCCATGTCAGGCACGTACATTAATTGACTCCACCCGATTGGTTTTCCCCTCTCCAATTAATGCAGCGACAGCTCGACACTGCAGAGACACCAGCTCCGCCCGGGACACCGCCTCCAGATGGCTCCCAGCATGTGCGAGCTGCCAGGCCAGGGTCAGGTGCCTACCCAGAGCCAGAGCCAGAGCCAGATCCAAATGCCCCACAAAGCAGGTGGCTCCAACAGCTCGGGGACGAACAAGTGCGGAGCCAGCAGCCTCAATGGATCCCTCGCCTCCTACAAGATAGGTGGCTCCGAGCAGAGTTGGCCTCAGGCCCCCGTGTTTAGTAAGGTGAGTCATTAACGAACTTTATTAAGTGAAACCAAAGACTAACTATTACATCTATGGCTAGGAAAATCAACGTCCACCTGTATACAATCCCGAGGATTATGTATACTCCTTGAGGAAGTTCACCAAGGGCAGCAGCTCGGGCAAGAAGCAATCGATCTACGATGTCAGCACTGGGCTCAGTGCCAAGGAGGAGGCATCCAGATCAGCCACTCTGCCAGCCAAGCATTCAGAGTACAAGTAGGAATTATAGATACTAGTTAACCAGAGAGGAAATTAATATATTCCCATCCTTACTTTGCAGATCTCCCATTCCTGCTCCGCCGGTAAATGAAAGGGAGATGTCTATGCGGCAGTTTGGCTCCATAACCGATTTGCTAACCAAGCTGCGTGCCGATCTTCGAGTTTCTTTCAGCAGGTGAGTCATTCTTTTGAACAAGGAAACCTCAGAAACCTAACTAACTGACTTTTCCCTGCAGCTTTGTCCAAGAGTTTGTGGCTACGCCTGCGGATGGCATCAGTCACTTGTTGGAGGTCCTGCGAGCCATTCAAATGGCTCAGGCCAGTAATGCACCAGCCCCGTTGCCAGGAGCCAGCAGTTCCCTGGCCATGAACAGGAATCCCCAGAGCTATCAGCGTCGTGCTCTGCTTGATGAACTGTCTTGCCTGTGAGTTTGATCCCGCTTCAGGCTCACTCTACAGATCCAAATTAATCCCTCGCTCATCCCTTCACCAGGCAATGTCTGAGCATTTGCTGCTCGCGATCTCTGGATGCCATAGCCCGCTTGGGGAACACACCCGTTGGTCTCATGCCGCTGGCCTCCTCGGCCACGGGACAGGGCATTCGAGCCCGGATCCTGGCCCTGCAGCTGCTGGCCTCCGCCTGCGACCGGCAGCCTTTTGGCAGCGGCACGGGTAGCCACAAAATAGCCTCCACAGGTCACACAGCCGTCTCTGACGCCATGTCCACGTTGCGCCTGAGATGCAGTGAACCAGTCCGTTTCCGGCTGCTGGTTGGCATATTGAATAGCGGCGGTGGATCCGGGGAACTGCAGTGTGCGGGTGTCAAGTGAGTTAAACCATTAATAATAACCCAAGAAGAATACTAAGAATTCCCATTCTCAAATAGATTTCTCAACACCTTCATTGAGAGCGCTGTGAGCATCCAGCAGCGCCTGTACATCCAGGCTGAACTCTTCCAAGCGGGACTCGATGCCAGCACCTTGGCCCGTACCATTTCCTCCTCCTCGCCGTGGCTGGATGCTTTGAAAAGCGAGGTGAAGCGGTTCAACGAGCTCCACATAGACGTGGATAAGATGATGGCCCAGGCGAGGGATGCAGAACGTGTCCGCAGCCAGATGGTGATCCTGGAGCGGAGGGTTCAGATCCTGCACGAGGAGAAGGCCGTTCTGACCTCCATGGAGAGGCGGCTGCAGGAGCGCTGTGCCGAGCTACAGCGGGAGATCTTCCGCATGCAGGGTGCCCAGCAGCAGTCCAACTTCAAACCGGTGGAGTCTGCACACCAACCGGTGGCCCTACCACGCCAGGTACCGCCCAGCACCAAAACGAAGCCGACGAGCAGCTCGGAGCACGAGGACGAGGGCATTAGCAGCTCAGAAACAGGTGCCTCCCTCAGCCCAGTGCCCATTCTCGTGCTGCCCTCCAAGGTGAAGCAGTCGCGAAAGGCGACAGCGGCGGTCGAGGAGGATGACGATGATGCAGCCACCATTGAAGATGTCATTGAGGAACTGGACAACATTGTGAGCGAAGCGGAGAAGCAAATCAGCAGCCAGGCGGGCACTAGCTCGAGGCCCAGGATGCGGCAGATTCGACCCACGGAGCAGGAAATTGTGCCGGTGAATATAGTGCCACAGCCACCGAGAAAATCCCGATCCCTGGCACACCTGGTGCCCCGCACGGATTGCTCTGAGCAAGATGGCTCCGACTACGGAATGGCGGTCCTGCATCAGCCGGGTGATCCCGATGCCGCTGAGCGCCTGGCCGCCATGCACACCTTCTTCGATGAGGTGGACTATGACGCCCCGGAGACGGACCAGCCATCGGCCTATCAAATGGACTCACCCTCGCCGGATATGCCAGAGGCGAATGCCACAGCCACGGCCTACAATGCCAGCACCAATCGAGAGCTGCTCGATGTGATTATGAATGCGCGGCACGACGAGCACGATCCTACCATGCAAGCCCTGCGAAAGAGTGTCCAAGATGTGGCGCCCATCATGACGGTTCCCCAACATCAAACCACGAAAGTTAAGGCACCAGCTCCACCACCTCCAGCACCGCCGGCTCAGCAATTCAATGGGGTCTTCTTTATGACGGGCATGAACACACCGCAGAAGTATCCCAAGCCGGACATCACGGCTGCTCTGCAGGCTCGCCGTGTCACCAAGAATGTGGAGCGCCTAGAGGCGGCTTTTGCATCCTCTCACTCCTCCCACGCCCACGAAGCCCTCAATGAGGCGGCCATCGGCAGGGAGAAGTCACGGAGCAATCAGCAGATCTACTTCACCAGCAATCCGGCAATGCGGATGCATGAAACCCCAAACTATCCCAGCGCCAGCGGAGGAAAGGGTGCCTCAGCGCGAACCCGATCCTACACCCAGGGATCCATGTCCAAGGTGACGGACCTGCCCTCTGGTCTGTACTAACTGCCTAACATATACTTCGAAAGATTCTCCAGATCCTGTGCAATAGCAGTCCACTCCTAGGTTATATTCGCTCTACAACATTCGCGTATTTATATATACATTTAATAGATATATCCACAGATAATATATATATATATATATATATATTCGTATTTATGCAATCATCTCGAGATAACTGCGCCCGAGACTAGCTTAGTGACGGTGGCAGCTTCAACAGGGTAACTAGCCGATAAGCGTTAGCTCAGTAGTAGTTCTTCACGTCTAGCGTAATTATATTTCCATGTTTATTTTTCTTTGAATAAAGTTTATACTCTACATCGATACGATATCTGGCCAACTCCTATCTATAGTGATTATTACGGCCCGTGTGAGTGCAAAGTGATAAGATGGGTTCTTTTAACCCTTCTTCGGCCCAAGACATTTCAACTTGGGGTAGAAAAAGTTGTCTAGCCGGAAACTGATAATAATTATGGGAAACTTTCTTTTGTATTTGATGATGTACTGCTTAAATTATTGCACTTAAAGCTTTGACTATATATAAAAAAGAATAACCTGAGGATAAGTATCTTTAAATCCTTAAGATATATAAGTCCAGAATATCAAGACGAAATTATCCCTAGCATATTATTTAAGAAATTGATGTATAGAAACCTTATTATTATTTCTTGAATTTCAAATCCAATTGATTGTTAATCATGTTTTTCATCGACTTTATAAAACCTAAACCATAACACGGCTAATCGCTGTCCAGATTAGTCGGATCTTATCGACAATTGCTTTGAATATTATATTCGAGTGGCAACCAGTTGCATTGGCGGCATTAAGTGCTCAAAATTTTGGCCAGTCTGCAATTGATAGAGCTGCCAGCATGAGTAAAGTTTCACCCAATACATTGCGTTCCCTGCCAGCAGGCCTGCAGAAGGTGGCCATTGAGGAGCTGAACGAGGTGCCCAGTCGAGTGGAATCCGATATCGCGGCTCTAAGGGAGTGGCTACAGAAGCAACCTCATCTCTGCTCCTGCGTGGCGGATCAGTTCCTGCTCAGCTTTCTGCGTGGTTCCAAGTTTAGTCTGGAGAAGGCCAAGCAGAAGATTGACCGATTCTACAGCTTACAGGCCGTTATTCCTGAGATCTTCAATGAGCACCGCCTGGCCGATGATCCACAAGTGCTGGAAATTATTCGCATGGGGTACGACCAAGGTATTCTTAAGACCTTTCAAGCTATTTACATTTCCCACAGAGTCATCTTACGGATTCCCCTGGACAAGGACGACACTGGCCCAGCTGTGACCATCATTCGGGCCTGTTCCTATGACTTGAGTAAATTCAAGTTCCAGGACATCATTCGAGTAGGCTCCATGTTTGGTGAGATCATGATGCTGGAGGATGACAATGCCTCAGTCACTGGCTACCTGGAGATCATGGACATGAGTGGAGTGACGGGAGCGAATCTGTTTGCTCTTCAACCTCAACTGCTGAGCAAGTTTTCGGCCTATGCTGACGAGGCTATGCCCACACGGCAGAGGGGCATCCATTTCATCAATGCTCCCAAAGCCTTCGAGACGGGCTTCAAATCGCTGCTGGGTTGGTTTCCAGCAAAGATCAAGGAGAGGGTAAGCTACTGTCGATCCTTAAGCGACTTTATACTAATCTCTATTCTTGCAGGTCTCTGTTAGCTCCGATCCGGAGGCCATCTTTGAGCGCGTTCCCAAGAAATATCTGCCCGTGGAGTATGGAGGCACCAGGGGCACTATCCTTGATATAACCACTGCAATGGAGGCCAAGTTGGCAAGCTATCGTAGCTATTTCGAGGAATCGCAGCACTTTGGCACCAACGAGAAGTTGCGCGAAGAGCCCACACACCTTGGCCAGGAAGAGAGTCACTTCGGAATGGATGGGTCTTTCCGCCAGTTGATCATCGACTGAACCTATTCACAGACCTGTAATGCCCGCAAAGCTATAAACCCATAATAAATGCTATCGATAAGCTTTCCTGTGTATTCTTCTTGACGACTATTTCAATACATGGTTATCAGTGCCCAGGCGATAGCTTATCGATTCCAAGTTGAGTTGCACAAATGCGAGGGTCAAAAATCGACATTCGTTAGCCGACTGCCAAGGAGATCCCAACCTCACGATGCCGTCCATCCGCCCGTTGAGTCCCGAGCTCCAGAAGAACGCCATCGAGAAGCTGAACGAGGTGCCCAGCAAGCTCGATGACGACATTGCCGCTCTGAGGGAGTGGATCAGGCAGCAGCCCCACCTAAAGGCACGCACAGATGATCAGTTCCTGGTTAACTTTCTGCGTGGCTGTAAGTTCAGTTTGGAGCGGACGAAGGCCAAGATTGACAGGTTCTATACGCTACGTACCAAATACCCCGACTATTATGGTGGTCCCAATATGGATGTGGACAAATCCCTGGAGATCTTCAAGCTGGGGTAAGTTGGAGACTTGAGACTTGACTTCCGAATCCTTTAACTATATTCAAATCTATCCTTAGCACCATTGTTCTACTGCCACGTCCCCTAAACGATAATGGGCCCCGTTTGGCTTTGCTCCGCATGGCCGCTTATGATCCCGATAAGTACACCTTTCAGGAGGTGAACCGGGCCAGCGCTCTCATGCAGCAAATCATGCTCGATGAGGACGATGTGGCCATCGTGAATGGCATGATTTCCATTTTGGATCTGTCCAATGTCACCACTGGCCACTTTCTGCAAATGACACCGTCGTTTGCCAAGAAGATGACCGTCTTCCAGGAGGAGGCACTGCCCCTGCGACCCCAGGGAATTCATTTCATCAACACACCCAATGGTTTCGAGACCATTTTCAATATGATCAAGCCGATGATGTCTAAGAAACAGCAGGGTCGCGTAAGTTAAAGTTTATAATAGAAAGAGTTCTATATAAAACGATCTTTGACCCGCAGCTCTATGTCCATGGAAGCAAATGGGAAGGACTCTTTAAGCAAATACCCAAGAAGTATCTGCCTGTTGAGTACGGCGGAGAAAATGGTTCGATTCCGGAGCTCCTTAAGGAGTGGGAGAAGCGTATTGAGGCTCATAGAAGCTACTGGGAGGAGGAGAACAACTATGGCACCGACGAGAGCCTCCGAGTGGGCCAGCCCGTGGATTTCGAGAGCCTCTTTGGATTACAAGGATCCTTCAGGCAACTAAATGTGGACTAAAACGGGCACCCGTTTGGAGAAACTACTAAAAATAGACTCAACTGCAGCTCTTATCTTGGCATACAAAGTTTAGGAACTCAAGTACCAAGAGGTTTCTTAACTCTAATCGATTTTTGATAAGATAATAATAATAATAAATGATAACTAGAACAATGGAGGGGAAAAACAAATTCGAAACTAAAGCAAATATTGTAAAACTTTTTAATTATTATGAAATTATGTTAAAAGAATAAAGGGGAATAAATTTCGGGAAGACGAATTTTATATAGCCTTGCAGTTTGCAATTGAATTAGGGCTAAAACTGAAAATATTCGCATTTTTTAATCTATACTTTTGTATGACAATTTTCGGACAAATCAAAATTTAAAAAACTCATAACTAAGCCAAAAAAGCATCAATTTCAATTCGGAAAACGTTCCTTTTGTTAGTTTTTATTGGGTTAATAAATCTGCATACTCAATAAACAATTTTAGAAAATTTTAATTTTTGCCAATTTGTGACAATTTTAATGATGTAACCCCTTATAAAATTTTAAATTTTTGGGAAAATTTTTTAAAATTTATATTTTGATCGGACATGTCTAGATCGATTCAGTTTTGGATCCTGAACAAGAATATATATGATTTATGGGGTCGGAAATGACTTCTTCATTACTTTTGAAGCTTCTGACTGAAATTATAATACCCTGCATGGGTATAAAAAGGTTTTAAACAATTCAAGAAATCAGCAAAGCTTTATTCTCAGAAGAAAAATCACTAGAGATATATAAGATATAACGAGAGACCACCTGTATCAGCTGTTGAAAGAAGAAAATCCGGCATAAACAAACACAAATTGAGATGTTTTTGAGAACAAAACAAAAGGAATGGTGAGAGCAAAAGCGATAATAAAAGTTTTTCCAAAAACTATATACCTCGAAAGACAAGAGAACTTCGCGTAAGACCAAAAATAAATCGTTTTTCCCGAGAGATCCGTGGAGAGTCCCCATTTGTGTGCCTCCGTTCAGTCAGTGTTTGTGGGTCGTACGGATCGGTGTGTGTCGGATCTCTGTGCGGATCGAATCGGATCGGAGGGGGGCAACGGATACTCAGCATGGAACTTAAATTGGAAAACTGAACAATTTCCCCAGTGCAAATCAAAGTGCGATCCCTGCTCGGTAATCATCGAATTAGAAACATTTCCAAACCTATTCCCCATAAATCGGCAGCGTTAATTACACCCAACGAAATCGAAGTTCATAATTGATCGGACATGTTATGTAGTCTCCTAGTCTCTATATAAGCAAAAATAAAGCAAGAGGAAAGGAGAGTTTTTCTCGACAGGCGTGGCACGGGTCTGAGGCGTCCGATTTTTTGACGATGAGATGAATGCCCCCGCCGGGCAACGGGCAAACGGGACAAAAATAGTCTCATGGAGTCTCAGCCCCGTTCCCACCTCCTCAGCTCATCGATCGGCCTTGCCCCAGCAACCCAAATAAATAAATATTTGGACAAATAAACATGTGCGCCGCAGACCTGTGTTTCTAGTTTACCTTTTGGGCTTCCTAGTAATCTTTTGTGGCTCCTTTGGAGATCACAAGAGAACCCAAGCCAATCGGAATCAATTAAATAGGGTTCTTTACGAGAGAGCATTAATTGTTGTTTAATTAATAATACATATTTCCTATGAACCTGCTACTCATTAGTGTTTTTTAGCAAATAGTTCAATGAAAGAGTAATGATGTTGCCTTCTGTGAATATCTATATCTAAGAAAAGAACCTTATAAATTAAGTATTATTCAAATCACTTAAACAGGGTACTTAAATCTTCGACCCTTGTGTTTCCCAGTCTTGTCCTTTATTTAGTTTCTTTTGCATTTCATAATTTATAACCAGCCGAGCGGTAAATTAGCCAACGGAAGAAGAGAATCGCTGGGCAACCATGTCGGGTAGGCGGGCACAGTCGCTGCCGGCGCACATGATGGAACCAGCGAAGCCGGAGCGGGGACGCTGTGTGGCTGCCATCTGTTTCTCGTGGAAAGTGCTCACCTGCATCGTGTCCCATGTTCTCCTCGTGCTCCTCGTGGTTTCCTATTGCGTGGGCGGAGCCTACCTATTCCAGCATCTCGAACGACCCCACGAATTGGAGGTGAGTGTGGTGGTTTTACCAACAAAACCCTTTTCTAATAGCACATTAAATCCCCTACAGGTTAAGCGGGATATTCAGCACCTACGCTTCAATCTCACCGAGAACATTTGGTTGCTATCGGACGACGCTGTGGTTCTGCGTGAAAGCGACTGGATGGCCAATGTGAGCAAACATTTGGCCAATTTTGAGAAACAAATCCTTACGGCCATCAAGGCCGATGGCTGGGATGGCGACGAGGATCTGCGCAAATCCCAATGGACCTTTGCCGGCTCTCTGTTTTACTCCATTATAGTGATAACAACCATTGGTAAGTTAAACAGAGACCACTAATCAATAGAATTAACAAACGACCTTGGACAAAGATTGGGATTTATTTGCTTAGTCTAACTGTAAGCCTAAACTATGCCTATGCTAAAGGGACTATGTACAACTTAAAGCGGATGGGAGTGTTTGATTAGGAAGAAGCCAGGCAGTAACAGGAGATCCTTAGTTGTAGATCTTCCATTAAACCAAAGCGTTGTACTCCCAATTTTTAGATCGTAATCTTAGACCTTCTTGGTGATCTTATCGTTCACCGTTCTGGGTGATGCTGCCACATTCTTGGCACTCTTGCCCTCGGCCACCGCCGGTGATTTCTCATCGTAGCCAAATCCTCCTCCGACTGGTGGGAAATTTCCGCCATAGCCGAAGCCTCCGTTTCCACCAAGTCCCAGTTGTCCTAGTCCTGAACCTCCAGCCAAGCCGTAACCCTCAGTGTACTGTGGTCCTCCGAATTGAGGATTGCTGGGATATTGTCCCAGTCCGGGGAATTGTCCACCTGGAGCCGCAAACTGATTTCCGTTGAAGTCGCCGCCAGGATAGGATCCATATGGGTACTGTCCAGTGCCGGGGAATTGAGTCAGGCCCAGTCCGTTGCCGGGATAGCCGTTGAAACCTGTTCCTCCAGTCGTTCCTGGAAAGCCAGCACCGGGAAGCGTTTGTCCCACTCCTCCATATCCTCCAGGATAACCTCCAATGCCGTTCTGAGCTCCAGTAAAACCGCCATAGCCCGGCTGATAAGGACTAGGGTATAGCGGAGGTCTTCCAATGATTCCTGTTGGTCCACCTGGTCCCACTAACACTCCCGGACTACCGCCGTAGCCTCCACCAATTCCTCCAAACTGGCCGGCATTGGCCTGACCGCCATAGGGATTGAACTGACGTGTGCCCACAGTGGGACTATCCGCTGACCTGGTGGGCTCCACATCCGCATAATCCTCGATCTCATCGTTTTCCGGCTCTCCTGGTAGAGGTCGACGGGTGGTGGGCTCGCGTCTTATCTTGTTGTCATACGAATTCCTGATGGGTGAACTCCGATCGATGTCTCGGAAAGAGCGCTCCCTGCGATTGTAGGAACGCCAGACCCAGTGGTCTCGATCTCCCTCCGCCGACTTGGCCACCGCTAGTCCAAGGAGACACAAGCCTATGATGAGGCAATAACTTGGCATGATGATGAGCTCAACTTGGTCTTTGGGTTTATCTTTCTGTCTGACTTCGCCTTTTTTCAACTTCTTCGATCACACACTGACCCGTTTTTTGCGCTTGGTCGCAGCAAGCTCCCGCAACAGAATACTTTGGATTTGCGAGCAACGCACGCTACTTATATAACCGCACACACGAGAATCAACGAAAACAAAAAAGCCCAGCCAACAGACAACAGACATAGCCGGCAATGATGATGACGCCGCACAAAGTCAGTCAAGCGACGAGGGCAGCCGCAGGTGGGGATTGGCGACTGCCGCCCTCCGCGGCCAATGAATCAACGCAAACATGGCATGGCATGGCATGGCATGGAGCAGACGATCGTGCCAGACGCTGCCGAGATCTTGGGCCCACGTATTCGGCTGTGGCTGATTCACTTGAAGCGAGGAGGAGCATGATCCGCCCAGGAACCAATGAAGCAATCAGATGATTCGGACAGTTGGTTCTGTCCACCCAATGGTCACGTTGAAATCGCATAAATCTCGGTCGCGAATCGATCATTTGGTAATTGTAATTGCTCATTAGTCGACCCAGAAAACCCATTCCTGGTGGAAAAACCATCGATTGCAGAAGTCATAGGTCAAAGATCCAGTTCGGACACAGCTAGTTAAGCACACGGCACGTGAATGACCTCTAAAAATGGGTTCATTCGGTTGACGGTGCTGGGGCGAGGGTGTGGAGCGTGTTAAATGAAACCGAAAGTGGAATCACTGCCATCCAATTGTTTGTGGTCAAAACAACAGCAAGGTCAGACGGCACTGACCGATCGTGATTATCTTCTCTGACGTTTTAGATTTAGATTTTAATGATGGCATTTTTCTGATTTATAATAGCATGCCCTGGTTTTGGCTTAGGTGGTTCTAAGCTAAGGTTTGTGACAGAAATCAACGAGAATTGTTACACCCTTGCAAGCGTAATATAATTTGAGTCAGAAGCTTCACAGGTAGTGAAGTTCTCATTTCCGTTTTGTTTGTTGTCTGTTTTATACCTTTTTGCAGGTTATTATAATTTTAGTCAAAAACTTATAACAGCATCAACAAACGCAGTATGCAGATTTGTTAGTGCTATAAAAACTTGCACAAAGAGCTTTCCGAATCAAAATTAATGCTATTTTGGCTTAAATATGATGTTCGGAAAACTGCGATTATTTAAGAAAATTGTCTGTTTTTATACCTTTTTGCTGAGTATAGCTTCAGTCAGAAGATTAAAACGCAGTGAAGGAGTCATTTCCGGTCCTATAAACCATATATATTCTTGATCAGCATCAACAGCCCAATCGTTCTAGCCATGTCCGGTCAAGAAATAAATTTTTGACATTTTTCCGAAAATTGAAAATTTTATAAGGGGTTACATCATTAAAATTGCCAAAATTTGACAACAAATTGAATTTTTTAAATTTGAAAACTGAGTACGCAGCTTTGTTAATCTACTAAAAACTAGCATAGAACAGCTTTCCGAATTAAAATTAATGATTTTTTGGCTTAGTTATGAGTTTTTTTAAACTGTGATTTTTGGGAAAAATTGCCTGTTTTTATACCTTTTTGCAGGTTATTATAATTTTAGTCAGAAACTTATAACAACATCAACAAACGCAGTATGCAGATTTGTTAGTGCTATAAAAACTTGCACAGAAGAGCTTTCCGAATCAAAATTAATGCTATTTTGGCTTAAATATGATGTTCGGAAAACTGCGATTATTTAAGAAAATTGTCTGTTTTTATACCTTTTTGCTGAGTATAGCTTCAGTCAGAAGATTAAAACGCAGTGAAGGAGTCATTTCCGACCCTATAAACCATATATATTCTTGATCAGCATCAACAGCCCAATCGTTCTAGCCATGTCCGGTCAAGAAATAAATTTTTGACATTTTTCCGAAAATTGAAAATTTTATAAGGGGTTACATCATTAAAATTGCCAAAATTTGACAACAAATTGAATTTTTTAAATTTGAAAACTGAGTACGCAGCTTTGTTAATCTACTAAAAACTAGCATAGAACAGCTTTCCGAATTAAAATTAATGATTTTTTGGCTTAGTTATGAGTTTTTTTAAACTGTGATTTTTGGGAAAAATTGCCTGTTTTTATACCTTTTTGCAGGTTATTATAATTTTAGTCAGAAACTTATAACAGCATCAACAAACGCAGTATGCAGATTTGTTAGTGCTATAAAAACTTGCACAGAAGAGCTTTCCGAATCAAAATTAATGCTATTTTGGCTTAAATATGATGTTCGGAAAACTGCGATTATTTAAGAAAATTGTCTGTTTTTATACCTTTTTGCTGAGTATAGCTTCAGTCAGAAGATTAAAACGCAGTGAAGGAGTCATTTCCGACCCTATAAACCATATATATTCTTGATCAGCATCAACAGCCCAATCGTTCTAGCCATGTCCGGTCAAGAAATAAATTTTTGACATTTTTCCGAAAATTGAAAATTTTATAAGGGGTTACATCATTAAAATTGCCAAAATTTGACAACAAATTGAATTTTTTAAATTTGAAAACTGAGTACGCAGCTTTGTTAATCTACTAAAAACTAGCATAGAACAGCTTTCCGAATTAAAATTAATGATTTTTTGGCTTAGTTATGAGTTTTTTTAAACTGTGATTTTTGGGAAAAATTGCCTGTTTTTATACCTTTTTGCAGGTTATTATAATTTTAGTCAGAAACTTATAACAGCATCAACAAACGCAGTATGCAGATTTGTTAGTGCTATAAAAACTTGCACAGAAGAGCTTTCCGAATCAAAATTAATGCTATTTTGGCTTAAATATGATGTTCGGAAAACTGCGATTATTTAAGAAAATTGTCTGTTTTTATACCTTTTTGCTGAGTATAGCTTCAGTCAGAAGATTAAAACGCAGTGAAGGAGTCATTTCCGACCCTATAAACCATATATATTCTTGATCAGCATCAACAGCCCAATCGTTCTAGCCATGTCCGGTCAAGAAATAAATTTTTGACATTTTTCCGAAAATTGAAAATTTTATAAGGGGTTACATCATTAAAATTGCCAAAATTTGACAACAAATTGAATTTTTTAAATTTGAAAACTGAGTACGCAGCTTTGTTAATCTACTAAAAACTAGCATAGAACAGCTTTCCGAATTAAAATTAATGATTTTTTGGCTTAGTTATGAGTTTTTTTAAACTATGATTTTTGGGAAAAATTGCCTGTTTTTATACCTTTTTGCAGGTTATTATAATTTTAGTCAGAAACTTATAACAGCATCAACAAACGCAGTATGCAGATTTGTTAGTGCTATAAAAACTTGCACAGAAGAGCTTTCCGAATCAAAATTAATGCTATTTTGGCTTAAATATGATGTTCGGAAAACTGCGATTATTTAAGAAAATTGTCTGTTTTTATACCTTTTTGCTGAGTATAGCTTCAGTCAGAAGATTAAAACGCAGTGAAGGAGTCATTTCCGACCCTATAAACCATATATATTCTTGATCAGCATCAACAGCCCAATCGTTCTAGCCATGTCCGGTCAAGAAATAAATTTTTGACATTTTTCCGAAAATTGAAAATTTTATAAGGGGTTACATCATTAAAATTGCCAAAATTTGACAACAAATTGAATTTTTTAAATTTGAAAACTGAGTACGCAGCTTTGTTAATCTACTAAAAACTAGCATAGAACAGCTTTCCGAATTAAAATTAATGATTTTTTGGCTTAGTTATGAGTTTTTTTAAACTATGATTTTTGGGAAAAATTGCCTGTTTTTATACCTTTTTGCAGGTTATTATAATTTTAGTCAGAAACTTATAACAGCATCAACAAACGCAGTATGCAGATTTGTTAGTGCTATAAAAACTTGCACAGAAGAGCTTTCCGAATCAAAATTAATGCTATTTTGGCTTAAATATGATGTTCGGAAAACTGCGATTATTTAAGAAAATTGTCTGTTTTTATACCTTTTTGCTGAGTATAGCTTCAGTCAGAAGATTAAAACGCAGTGAAGGAGTCATTTCCGACCCTATAAACCATATATATTCTTGATCAGCATCAACAGCCCAATCGTTCTAGCCATGTCCGGTCAAGAAATAAATTTTTGACATTTTTCCGAAAATTGAAAATTTTATAAGGGGTTACATCATTAAAATTGCCAAAATTTGACAACAAATTGAATTTTTTAAATTTGAAAACTGAGTACGCAGCTTTGTTAATCTACTAAAAACTAGCATAGAACAGCTTTCCGAATTAAAATTAATGATTTTTTGGCTTAGTTATGAGTTTTTTTAAACTATGATTTTTGGGAAAAATTGCCTGTTTTTATACCTTTTTGCAGGTTATTATAATTTTAGTCAGAAACTTATAACAGCATCAACAAACGCAGTATGCAGATTTGTTAGTGCTATAAAAACTTGCACAGAAGAGCTTTCCGAATCAAAATTAATGCTATTTTGGCTTAAATATGATGTTCGGAAAACTGCGATTATTTAAGAAAATTGTCTGTTTTTATACCTTTTTGCTGAGTATAGCTTCAGTCAGAAGATTAAAACGCAGTGAAGGAGTCATTTCCGACCCTATAAACCATATATATTCTTGATCAGCATCAACAGCCCAATCGTTCTAGCCATGTCCGGTCAAGAAATAAATTTTTGACATTTTTCCGAAAATTGAAAATTTTATAAGGGGTTACATCATTAAAATTGCCAAAATTTGACAACAAATTGAATTTTTTAAATTTGAAAACTGAGTACGCAGCTTTGTTAATCTACTAAAAACTAGCATAGAACAGCTTTCCGAATTAAAATTAATGATTTTTTGGCTTAGTTATGAGTTTTTTTAAACTATGATTTTTGGGAAAAATTGCCTGTTTTTATACCTTTTTGCAGGTTATTATAATTTTAGTCAGAAACTTATAACAGCATCAACAAACGCAGTATGCAGATTTGTTAGTGCTATAAAAACTTGCACAGAAGAGCTTTCCGAATCAAAATTAATGCTATTTTGGCTTAAATATGATGTTCGGAAAACTGCGATTATTTAAGAAAATTGTCTGTTTTTATACCTTTTTGCTG